CCTTCCTCTCCCTCATTCACACATCCTACACGCCACAAGAAGGGCCCGAACAGCCGCTCCTTGACCGACCGCGAGAAGCGCCGGAAGATGGCCAAGTTGCAACGGACGCTGGGGGAGAATGTCCCTCCCGAGCTGGTGTTTCGGGCTGTCGTTGGTGGCTCTTCTTCCGCTCCTGCTTCTTCCTCTGCTTCCACAGCGAACGCCAACTCAGCTTCGTCGTCGTCGTCGTCTTCTGTCAAAACCACCGACAAAACCACCGCCTCTGCCTCTGCTTCCGCAACGGTCCTCACGAACCCAGCCAAACGCACCTCATCCCTATCTATGGCCGTTCCAAGACCGAGGGCCATCGATGTGTTTGCGGCGCAGTACCAGAGACATCAGGCTAGTCGGTCGATGGTCATGGGTGGTGGTGTTGGGATGCCGCTTGCGGTGGCGGAGGCGCCTGTGCCTGCACCTTCGTCCACTCAGCCCGAGGCTGTGGCGACGACGCCGGCGAGTAAGGTGATCGAGAAGTTGAGGGAACGCACGATCAGCGAGCGGACGAAGAGTTCGTCGGGCAATTGCAGTACGAGTGCGAGTGGGTCGAGCACAGCGAGCAGTGGGAGTACGACGGCGACCGGAGGAGAAAGGAGAAAGAAGCACAGGCCCAGAAGCCTGACTCTGGGCAGCGCGTCGGCGTTCGTTGGGGCAGAGAGTGCCATCGCTGCGTCGAAGGCTAGTGATAGGAAGGGCAAGAGCAAGATGAAGGCGTTGCCTAACTCCCCTATGCATTCCCTGTCGCAGTCCCAGACTCAGTCCCAAAGTCAGGCGGAACGACAGACCCAAGCAGAAAGACAAGCAGAGCGAAACCGCCTCTTCCCGTCAAGAGGCACCGTTTCCCTCGACTCGGAGCGCTCGATCGCGACTACGACCGCGACAGACGATCGAGAGGTGCCGTTCGCCGCCGTGGGGCGCCGGATGGACTCTTACCCACTTCCTGGGGATGGGAAGGAGGATGCCCATGCGAATGCGAATGTGAATGTGAATGGACAATTGACGGTGGAGTGGGGACGGAGGAAGGAGAGGGAATGGAGTGGGGAGTGGAATAAGCGGGATATGGAGGAGGTGGCGAGGGCGTTGAGGGGGTTGAAGGCGCACTAAGGGAAGGGAGAGCTGTGCGACAACACCGACGAGACTTGGGCGATACCTACGACGACGATACCCCGACATGACACCCACACGGATACGCATATGGATACGGAGCGATACCACCCACTACCACCTCTCATCGACATCATCGACATCGTTGAAACGATTGTAACGTTTACCTTCGGACGACTCTGCGAGCCACATTTCTTCTTTCTCTTTTCTCTTTTCATCTTCATCTTTCTTTTTGGATCATCTTGTAATTCATCTCGTTCATCACTATGCATTCGTCTATTTCCCATTCATTTCTCTCTTCATTTTCACGTTTCTCTTCATCGACCGTCCTCTATGCAATCTCCACCCCAACCCTATCCTGCACAAGCACAAGCACGTCTATTCTTCCTTCATCTCCAACTCCAACTATCATTTACCCTACCCTTCCTAAACCTAATATCTCTGCATACGTTACGTTACATAAAAAAAGCATTGTACTCGGTAATCGCTCGTATGCGTGTACCTCTGAATCTCTGGGACTTGTCCGCATTCACTCGGCCTTGTTGGGCTTGTCGTTTGTTGTACATAATCTATTATGTCTGAAGCATTCTGTGGGCAAATTGTAAGCTTGTGTGATTGAAAGATTGAATCAGGTCAAGAGAGAGATTAAGCAGCCTGGCGTGGGGTTGCGAATGAGAGAACAGGGGAGAACTTCAACGCGATGATCGATCCCGACGCGTCGTGACTTAACTCGGACGCTGCAAGTCACGATGCACCGTGTCACGCTCCAAGTTGTCGAACGCTGCCATTGTCTATACACTCCCTTCTTCTCTGTGCTACGTATGCTTATCATGAAGCTGACCGGGCCATCGCTTTTATAAACCTACATTGGAGAATCGACAGAGTTGACACGAAATATCAAGACTTGCGCGACCTGCTCACTACCAGAACTCACGACTTTGAAAGCTCGACACGACTGGGCTGTAGTACCAAGGATACATCGAAGACCACCACTACTGGCACTAAGAAGATGGCGAGAGGACACCACCACCACCACCACCATCACCCACCGTCGCCCGCAGCGTCGGCGCTGCCCAAGGTCGAGTTCGAGATCGCCAAGGACGACGTGATGAAGCTCCCCGCGGGGGTGCACGAGGCGGCGCCCAGGGCGTATGGATGTGCATGTCTCTTTGCTCTTATCTTGTCTCCTCACTTTCCCGTCCTTGTCCTTCATTTTCGTATTCATAGTTTTTGGGAAGGAGCTAACATACGCATGCATTGGGGCAGATAACGACTTTTCCGAATTTCGACGGCCGGACCACTATATCCGCCATATCGAGCCTCTCGAGAGCGACCTCGCGAAGCTCGTCGAGTATGATATGGATGAGCAAGGTCAGTCCTCCTTTGCATGCCCATATCTTTTACGTTCGGAACGAACGAACGTCAGATGGGGGTTAATGGCGCCTAATGCTAATCAGTGTTGGGGATACAGACCAGGAATGGCTCGAGGCTGTCAACGCGGACCGCAGGAAGGACCAGATGGACAGGGTCTCGCTGGAGGTGTTTGAGATTATGATGGACCGGTTGGAGAAGGAGTGGTTTGACTTGGTGTGTGTCTTTCATATATCATCCATTCTCTTGCCCGTTTCATTTGGGTTTCGGGGTAGACTGACGGAGACGCGACTTTTACCATGTTGAACTATATAGACGAAGAACATACCGAAACAGGACTTTGCGATGCCCTCGGAGGACTCGACATGTGCGGTCTGCGACGACTCGGAGGGAGAGAACAGTAACGCCATCGTATTCTGCGACGGGTGTAACCTAGCAGTTCACCAAGGTGCGTGGTGTTCCCCTCTCCCTTCCCCTCCCACTCCACCTCCAACCCCATCTCCTTCCTAACCACCTCCATCCCCAGAATGCTACGGCGTGCCCTACATCCCCGAAGGCCAGTGGCTCTGCCGCAAATGCACCGTGTCGCCCGAGAACCCCGTCTCGTGCATGCTCTGCCCGAACGAGGGCGGCGCGTTCAAGCAGACAACGCACGGCGACTGGGTGCACCTCCTCTGCGCGATATGGATCCCGGAGACAAGGGTCGCGAACGATGTGTTCATGGAGCCGATTACGGGCGCGGATAGGATCTCGAAGCAGAGGTGGAAGCTGGTGAGTGTTGGATTGGGTCGATTATGGTTGGAGGAGATGGCTGATTGTTTTTTTTTGGGGGGTCGTGTTCTTTGTTTTGGGTGGTAGAGATGCAGTGTGTGTGAGGTCAGGGCGGGGGCATGTATACAGTGCACGAAACCGTCGTGCTTTGTGGCGTTTCATGCGACGTGTGCGAGGAAGGAGAAGCTGCTGATGCCGATGAAGAGTGCGCAGGGTGCGGAACCGGCGTCGCTCATGTGCTTCTGCGACCGTCATCTTCCAGTACGTCCTCCTTCACTCTACCTCTCATGCTATCCATTCCTGAACCTTGCCTCCTCTAGCAAGAACAACAAGACGCCCGCCAGGCCGCCCTAGAAGCCGAAGAGGAGCAAGAAGCCAACCTACCTCCCGCTGCACAGTCCAAGTCCGCCCGTGCATACGCCAAGACCTACAAGCCCGGCCCGCCACTTGTGCCCGCCCTTATCGTGGACAGGATCATGGAGTACACGTATAGGATCCGCCTGCGCAAGAAACTCGAGTTCGTACAGCAGATGTGCCGGTACTGGAGCTTGAAAAGGGAGGCGAGGCGCGGGGCGCCGCTGTTGAAGCGGCTGCATTTGGAGCCGTGGACGGCGAGCTCGGCGGCGAAAGTGTTGAGTCGGGAGGAGAGGCTGATGAGGTTGGATGTGAGTCTTCGTCCCGTAGCACCTAACTGTGCCCGTTTTCTGACGATTTGTGCAGCAATTACAACGGCTGCGACAGGACCTCGTCTGCGTACGAGAGATGACGGAGCTGTGCAGGAAACGAGAGACGAGGAAGATGAGGCAGGTCGAGATCGTGTGTGAGATCCTCACGGAGGCGTTCTTCCCGCATGCTATACCGTTGCGTATTGCGTTCGACAAAATCGTCGCGTAAGCTTTATCTTCGTCGCCTGTCGTGAGGACCTGCGCTAACCTTTGGCTTCGTAGCATCGACAAGTCAGATCACTTCAAAGCGCCGGTCTCGAAACAGGCAGTGCCAGATTACTTCGATGTCATCAAGAAACCGATGTGTTGGGACATCATCGACGCCAAGTTGGAACAGAACCGGTATTGGGATCTGCAGAACTTCTTGGTAGGTAGACTCCTTGAGCATACTTTCTACTGACCTGTTGTCTGACTTTGGTCACGTATGGATTGCAGGACGACATCAACTTGGTATTGGACAACGCTCTGCGGTACAACAAATCGGGCTCGCCCTTCCACAGGCTAGCGACGAGGATACAGAAGGAGTCGAGGCCACTTTTGGCGGCCCTCGAAAAGTGGCGTGTTGCCCATCCTCCTGTGCCATCATCCTCGAAATCCACCCCTAATGGAAAGCGCCACACGCCTGCAGGGCCTGAAGACGAGGAGGGCCTCGATGCGGAGCAAGCAGAGACTGAAGATGGAGAAACTGACCCACCACAACCGCTGGTGGGCGACCTCGAGCCCCCTATGGCCGTTCTCGAGCTTCTCCTCTCCTCCGCAGGGATTGCAGCCGACCTCAACATCGAAATTGACGGTGCACCGATCGAGTCGTTGTTCAACTATGAGCTGGCACGCGTAAAGCCACCCCCGCCCGACTCTCCGACCGTCATGCCGTACCGTCTCCAGAGAAGATGGAGCAGAAGGAGCAGGCGGCGAAGAATAAGGCGAGTAGGACAAAGAAGCCGAAGAAGGAGCGAGACCGGAAGGCAGAGGCGAGAGCCAGGGCGGAAGCGGCTGCGGCTGCTGCAGAAGCTGCGAAAGCTCAGCAGGACAAAGGCGAAAAGGCTGTTGAGGCTGATGACGAGGGTGAAGACGAGGAGCAGGAAGGCAGAGGCAACGAGATGGAAAGGCCGAGAGAGGATAGGAGTAGGGACAGAGGACGAGACCGCGAGCTGCAGGCTGCGTTGGATGCCTCTGCTGGGTTCCGAGCTCCTCGGACTAGGAGTGCCTTGGCCGCAGCTGCCGCCTTCGAGGCGGAAGCGACTCGCGGGTCCTCTCCAGTCGCCAGCCCCTCCGTAATCGCTCTTCCACGTCCAGCTCTGCCTCTTACCGTTCAGGATGCTGTTGCTTCCTCGACATCAACCTCAGCCAACTCAGAGCCGCCGGGCTCGAAACCGGTCAGCAAGTCGAAGAAACGGCCGTCCATCGTCACGATGGGCCAGCCGGGCTCGCCTCGGGTGGTCAGCGATGTGGATAACCGAGATTCATTCAGTTTGTTCAACGCCGGATGGATTCTGCCTCCGGACCAGAAGAGAGGAGGAAGGACGTCTGCTGCTGACAGCCATCGGCTGCAGCACCAACAGGTGCTGTCTCCGCCCAGGAAGAAGCAGAAAATTGGTATGACCTGTCTTGTCTATGTTTATTGTTGAGCTGACCGTTCAGCGGCGTTAGACCATCCTGCTTCGAGGTTGTCGGTTGTCAGTACGGCTGCATCGGACAACCAGACGCTTAGAAGGACGCCTCCGTTCTCTTCTGATCCGCCTGAGATGAAGCACCATCCAGAGGACACGATGGATGTGCCCATGGACGTCGACGCACCAGAGGACTACCATGGCGAAGCTTCTGCAGGAAGGCAATACTCTTCGGATGAGTTCGAGGTCGATGAGGTCAATGGCCCACACCATGTTGTCACTCTGCCCAACGGGGACATCATCATCGAAAAGCTGGATACCCCTGCCATTCGGAGGGAAAAGAGTATGCGGAAGAAGGTCGAGAAACAGCAGAAGCAGGCTGTGCTTACTGCTGTTGTCGATCCTGGCACTGGTGTTCCAGACGAGTTTCTTCTGGCCAGCAACGTCCCACAAAGCAAAGGCAAGGAAAGACAGCTCGAGCACGAGGAAGACTTGTCAGCTGCACTATTACCATCGGCCGACGACACAGAAGAAGACAAAAATGCCGGGGCGGGCCACGACGGCGATGAATCAGAGTTGAGTGAATTGAGTGACGAGACTGAGGACGAGGACGCTATTGGAGACGAGGAAGTCAAGGAAGTCAAGGAAGAGAAGAAGAAACCACCGCCTAAGAAGATCCCGGCACCGAGAGCCCCGAGACCTAAAAGAACGAAGAAACCACCAAGGGTGGAGCAGTTCGAGGATGGTACGATAGGTACGACGATCCTGGTCTTTCGGTATATTTGTAACTGACACCTTTCTGTTTTACCAGTCTGGGCAAAATCGGGTAAGCTTTCCAGTTTTAGTTACGTTCTTGTGCTGATCCAAGTCATGTCTTCAGAATCCTTTCCTTGGTGGCCAGCGGTTGTCTATGCCAACGAGAACGATGCCGTCCCACAGAATATTCTTGAAGCCCATAGAATCAAACGTCAGAAACGCAAAATTAAATTGTTCATCGTACAATTCTACGACAAACAAAAGTCCTGGTTCGTTGTTCGCCATTTTCTACTTGGTGTCGGATTGAAGGTAATTTGTGCTCAGGCAAAGCGTTGCGCGAGATAAGCTTCAATTGCTTGGCGAAGACTCCAGCAAGTCTACATAGTCTTTATCCTCTTTTCTCTGCTAAACCCTCGTCCCATCTAGAACTGGACCAGCAGATGCTCTCATCTACATCCACTTTGCAGAAATGGAAAACCCCTGCGTCCAAGAAGGAATGCCGTGAAGCGTACAGGCACGTGGTGTCATATCGTCTGGTTGTTTGGCCCCTGACCTGTGAATTGTAGACAAGCATTCGCAGACATGGATCACGGCAGCCGTACCGAAGGAACCTTCAAGCTTGCAGACGACAGCGATGACCACTGATCGTTTTTAGGCGATTTCTAGCATTCTATTTCTCAGTTTACGTTTCCCGTTTATTTTTGCTGTTTTGTCTATGTTGGGTTCGGGAAGTGACTGCATGTTTGTGAGCCCTGCCGCTGTTCCATACTCTTTCACTGAACCTAGAACCTTAGATATATCTTATATACCTGCATTTGTACCATCAATTGTAACGATTTGGATCCGCCCCACCTTCGTTCTCGCTTCACGAGCATGCAAGGATACTGAATTTGTGGGCGGCGTCGTGTTTTACGTTGCTACGATGACAAAAAGGAAAAGAACGTCGCCGGAGATGCCTGGAAAGACTCCCTTCGTGCTAAATTTGGAGAGTCGTGGTCCCAGTGCGTTTGTTCGTTGCTGCGATATCCTTGGAATTTCGTAAGTCTTCTCTCTTCCTTTTTCCAAGAAAGCAGCTGAGGATAAGGGAAAGGGTGGAAGGCTTCCCTATCATTTCTCTTGGCACCTTCGTGGCATACCTCAATGGCGCTCTTCCATGCAAACAACTAACGACCAAGTGTCGTGTTGAGAAGAGCTACGAAGTCTTACACGCCAAGCACCGGGATACGGCGAGTTGGACAATACGATGACGGTAGCACGACTTCGGCTAGATGGATTTTGTCATATGGGAATAGATATGTCGATTCGAATTCTTCGACTTCGCCAGAAGCGTTCACCTCTCAGTAATAAGGCCAGTGTACGAACCATTCGGCTGCATACCATTATACCTCATACCGTCATGAGCGAACCCACCACTCTTTTGATGACCCTTCGAGACCTTCTCGATAGCCGCATCGTCCTATTTGCTGTCGCGAGCGCCGTTTATTGGGTAGGCCTGTCGTATTCTCGAGGGGAGACTCGGAGAGTACGTTCGAGGTCAATCATTGTGAAAATCACTCCTTAATACCTTTTCACAGCTCGTGCACATTCCGACAGTAGGCCCCAGCGCACCTCTTTTATCTTACTTCGGGGCATACAGGTTAGTTGCCGACGCACGGAGCGTCATTTATACTGGTATTTCCAAGGTGCATATAGCATTACTCTACCATATTTTCTGTGACTCCTGACTAGTTTCTGCGCAGTACCCTAACAGCATTTTCAAAGTCCCGCATGTGCTTCGTTGGCTGGTAGTCATTACGGACCCCAAGGTTATCGATGAAGTCCGTAAACTCCCAGACAGCATCTTATCGTCATTCGAGGCTGCCACTGAGGTAGGCGATAGCTCCTCTTAAAGACCCAGTGAGGTACACTGACTTTGTCGGACGTACAGTCAATTCAAACAGAATTTACGCTCGGAAAGCCCATCAGAGACAATCCGTACCATCTATCGATTGTTCGAGTACAACTGACGCGTGCCATTCCTCAATTGGTCCCTGCCTTATATGACGAGATTGTGGCGTCGTTCAATGATCTGATTCCGGCAACCGACAGTGAGCGCCATCATTATGCTGAGGCTTTGATCTAAAGGAAATCATTTCAAGACTGGATGAGCGTAAAGATTCTTGATACCATGATGAAGGTAGTTGCTCGAGCGAGTAATCGTGTTTTCGTAGGACTACCGCTATGTAAGTGTCATCGCATATACTGACGGTTCACTGTGGCCTATCTGCTGAATCGCCCAAAGGCAGAGATCCCGAATACACTGCTCTCAATGTCCAATTTACCCTCGATGTCGTCAAAACCAGCTCTATCCTCTGCTTGTTTCCGCGGCCTTTCCGCCCGTGAGTTTCTCTCTCATTGAACGGGCCTCCAGTCTAATCGCAACCTGTAGTTTTGTAAACTCCTTGATATCTGATATCCCGAAACGGGTCGCCGTTGCTTTGAAACATCTGGCACCTGTATTTGCTGCTCGTCGAAAGGAACGTGAGGAAAAGGGCGACGACTATCCTGCCAAACCAGTGAGCATTCCCGTCTTCCTTATGTCCGGTAATTGGATATTGACTAACTCCAATACTTAGGTTGACCTCATAACATGGATCATGGATTTGGCCAAAGATAAAGAGGAAGAAAGCGACTGGGACCTTACCTTGCGTGTCTTGACTATCAACTTTGCTGCGATTCACACGTCTTCCATGGTACGTAAGTCCAACCTGTAGTTTGGCATCGCATCTCAGAGTCACGTCGTTTGAATATCTACAGACCTTCACGCATGCATTCTTCTACTTGGCTGCATATCCTGAGTACCTCAAGCCACTACGTGAGGAGGTCGAAAACGCCGTGAGGAAATATGGATGGACGAAGGAAGGCCTTGACCAGATGCAACATATCGATAGTTTCATCAAGGAGTCGCAGAGGCTTAATCCCTTGTCAATCGGTGAGTAATTTAAAATTCGTGCTTTCGGAGAATCCACGCCGACGAAAGTATTTGACTTTACAGTCTTGGTGCCCCGTGTGGTGCTCAAAGATCACGTCTTTTCGGATGGCACAATGGTGCCGAAGGGCACGACTATCGGCGTCGCAACTGCTCGGGCCCACCTGAACGGCGACCGGTACGAGGACCCTCTCCAGTTCGACGGCTTCCGCTACGTCAAATTGAAGGAGCAGTGCGCCGGCGAATCGGAGAAGAGGTTTGACATGGTGTCCTCCAACATCGATGCGCTAGCATTCGGGTTAGGAAGGCACGCCTGCCCCGGACGATTCTTCGCCACGAGCGAGCTCAAGACGATGTTTGCACATGCGGTGGTCACTTATGATGTCAAGCTGGAGGACATGGGTGTTCGGCCTGCGGACAGATGGATCGCGACCAGCTGCTTGCCCAATCTAACCGCTCAGGTTCTCTTCAGGAAGCGCGCCGATATCTAGGGACATCACTGCTGATTTTCTGCCTCATTCTGTACATAACGCTCTTCACTGTTTAGATTTATCTTCCATCGTTAATTTATGTCGATTGACGATTGCTAGTCTACGGTGAACAATTGGGTTGTTCTTCACAGGTTGCTACTGCTCGATCGATGGGGTCAAACCTAGAAGATTTAAATAGGGACCTACGGTCGAGGTATCAATGTTTGATATTCAAATTCTACTCTACATACTCTAAACCTAGACGCTTCGCATGATGCTGGAAGAAATCGTGGTAGATATTCAGGCATTCCAGGGTTGCAGCGATGAAAATCGAAAAAGTGGCGCAGGTTCTCATCTTCGTGAATGCCGTGCGGGTGTGTTAATTTTATGGTTGAAAGAGGCCTGAACTTTGTTGATAACATCAGTGACCACCCAGCCGAACTGCAACCTCCGATTCCAGCATTTATATGTGAGACCTTTGAGCTCAGGAAGGAATTCAGGATTCTCTTGAAAAGCATTGAAGATATGTTCATCGTTCGCAGGACTACCACGGAGGTTGACGCTCAGCGACTCCAGAGAATGGAGATAGGGTGTCTGTAGCAGCTCGGAAAGAGAGTTTGCTGTCTCTCCGTTATAAGGTCGATGGGCGATTTCGAGGTTCTTCAAGTTGCAGCAGGAGCGCAAGACGAAATCTTGGATGGTGGACACTGTAGCACATGCCTTGAAGTGTTCTAGCTCGGGGAAAATACATTGTTCCAGGAGCCAATCCGCCGAGGACTCCTCAGTGATGATTACAAGACGGCGAAGTCGCAAGTGGGTTATGAATTGGAAGGAAGGTTGATGTCCAAGCAGCCATTTGCTTCGCATCCCTTCAAGGCGAGCTTGTTAACCTTGTTCCATGAGATCTCCACGAGATGCGGCTCCAGGCTCGATAATAAAACGTACTCTGGCTCTAGAGTGTCGGTCGAGAGACTGAACACTTCGGGAGCATAATCGCAATGGTTTAGGCGCCCGGATGGCGAGATGCTTCAGCTGGGAGCTCAATCTCGCTTTTGACATCAATGGAAAGAAGATTTTGGCGGGGAGATCGTCGTCGAGAACACGGCAGCGGTTGCCGAATGCGTTCATGAGATCCTGAATGAATGCCACCCAAGTCTTCGCCATTTGCGACCGTGAACAACTTGAAGATTCCCAGCGAGCTCTATCTATATAGAGCGACAGGGGGAGATCCCCAGTTCGGGAGAGCCACTGGAATGACATCTCTCGTTCCCGTACCATATTGTTCTTGATATTAGAATCAACAGAAATTGACAGTCGTGCCCAGAGCTCGGGGGTGTTCCATGCAGTCTCCCTCCAGGTCTTGCAGATCGCTCCGAGAACCAGCAGAGTGAGCATAGAGGGAAAAGATGCGCTGGATAAGCTCTGGAGGGAGGTGGTTAACAATAGGATCATGGATGTTGTTCCGCGCCGTTTGTAAAATACCTCGGGCATCAGTGAGGGGCTTCAGTATGGCTTCAACGCTCGATATTTGGATTTCGAGGTCAGTAATCTTGAGGCATGGGTCGCAGGGTCCTCCATCAACCACTTCACAAGCCGATGCTCCTGGTTTATCGGTCTTGCCTGTCTTGCAAAGATCGCAAAGCATTGGAAAGGACTTGAAGTGTTGCAGGTTTCGACTTGAAGAACGCAAATATTAATGAGTTAGACCCAACGGCCGGTATCCACGACTGACTTTTGAATGTAGATCAATGACTGATACGCCGTTCTTGCCTTCCTCTCTCTAAAGAGAACGGCGATAGTGAGTACTTGGTGAGAGCTGAGCGCTGAGCAAGAGTATCGGGACGTGAGAAGAACGCTGACACCACGTAGCCCATGTAATCATCGGAATTTGCCGACACTTTTCACTTCACAAAGCTTGCTCGGGTCTCAAGTGCTCGGCTATAAGGTACTCAAGACCTCTTTATTCCCTCTTCTCTATTCATACATCATAAATTCATCAGAACAGCGTCGTCGATTTATTGGATGACTATCAAACTCAAAGGCTGACCATCGGGATGTCTTTACACTCGGTCTTATTGGTCAGGCGAAGTCATTTCTGCTCTATCTTTGGACGAGAGGTAAGCGCCTTGAGTGAATTTTCTGCAAAGTTACGATCGGGTACTCGCTGAGAACTTCTACCAGAAGTCCACTGTATGGTCACCGGACCAAGACATCACTCTGGTCGACTTCGGCGCGTGTACTTCTGCCCTTCACTCCATATTTCTGTCGTTCACCGTCAAGAATAACTTTTAGAAGCAAGGGATCATCGAAGAGTGCATTTTCCGTTGATCATGATCTTCTTGGAATTGGGCCTTTCAAGGGCGACTTTCACCGAAGGCGGCCATCTTTGTCGATGTTCTCTAATCGACGATAAAAACAGACATCCGGCTGCTGCTACATTATTCTGTTTACGGTGATGCTGGCAGTCCTTCGTCTGCGCTGCACAAACTTCCTGCGAGGACCTCATCCTGAACGTGGAAGTCTGGATTCAGCAGAGCGGTCCCATCGAGTCGAAGCAAATCTTGAGCTCCTTTGCGCTATTCAATTGCTGATTTTTTATCCTGTCCTGTCGGAACACCCGTTCATCTGTCGACGCTGGCTGAAATATCTTCTCTATTCAATTCCTTGACACAATAAGCGACGAACTCATCACTTGAGACAGAAAACGTTGAACAGGTGGCTGCTGGGCGCAACATAATGGAAGGATTACAGGCATATTTTGGTTTTCTTAGGTCTACAATCTTCAAGAGAGGCTGATAGTCGTCAGAGCCCGGGTCCCGAGGACGTTTCTTCAAATTCCTTATGCATCATCTGATACCATTCTGCCCTGACGAACGAGCCCATCCCGAAATTCAAATTCAGTATCGAGTTCCGACGACAGGATGAAGTTGACTGAAGTCAGCGTTTTCCCCAACAAGAGACTCGGGCGAGACGCCGAGACGCTTCTCACTTTCTCGTCCTTGCATCGACTAAAAAAAAAGAAAACGTATTTAAACCCCTCCTCTGCGCTCTCAACATCCAGCGAACACCATTGCTACCACCCAACCCCCAAGTCAAATCCAAATCTACAATGCTCTCTGCCTCCAAACTCGCCCTCAGCCTCCTCATCGCGAGCACCCTGGCCTCCGCGGCCGACATCTGTGCCTTTACCTCGCGCGGATGCTCGGGCAACTACGGTTGCTGTGCGGGCATCACGAGGGCGTGTGCTGCACGTACCCCGCCGCCTACGGCTGGTCGACGCTCTTCCAGGGCATGCCGTTGCACGGCTGGTGGCTCGGGAAGATGTACGGCGACCAGTGCCACACCCAGACGGGTGCGGCGGGCTCGTCTTCCGGGAGCGTCTGTAAGTCGGGCCTAATCTTGAAAGAGCGTGCAACTTATAGAAGGTCTCAGCGTGTTCAACGGTCCTGGCTGGGTCGCCGCCAGAGCGGCTGCCTGGGATGCTGACACGCGTTCTCGCCGCCGCTCTGTCAAGTTCGGGGCCCGTGCGGACGACGACGACAGCGAGTGCATGGAGGCCAATGTCATAGGATTCACCAAGGACGGCACCGAGCATCGTCTCCGTATTCCCGAAGGCACCAAGTTCGCCGATGCCGAGAAGCTTTTGAACGACGGCCAGTTCGACGAGCTCTTCAAGTTTGAGAGTGTTGCGATTGAGCAGTAGGGGAGTGGTTCATTCGTTTCTCAAAGGTGTTTTGAAAGAAATAAGCAGCATAAGAAAATATAACATGATCAAACTTGTACAATATTGTTGCTCGTCTGCAGTTCATAAAAATATTTAGTGCTTTGTGGAATAGGCGTCGTGGAGAAAGTCAGGCCTCGATTCATTGCACTACTCATGATCACTGGTTCCCACCAAACCGAGATATCACTCGGCCACAAAAGAGTTTCCCCCTTCATCCATCATATGTTCCGTCCATGACATCCATGGACAGTTGTCCTCAAACCAACGCCTCTCTTCTGTCGATATCACCGGCCCAATGCCACGGACGGAAACGTTATACAGTAGATGTTCTAATAATGCATAATGTCCGGGAGGACCGATTTCTGATGCATTATTAGATTTATGCAACATGAGCAAGTGTGACTACAGGTGACTAAGTGACATCACGCTGACTTAATCCATCCATCTTTTTTTTTTTTTTTTTTTTTTTGAAGTCTTCCACGTAGGGTGTATTTTAGACGTACTCCAAATACACAAAAAATAGGGTGTTCGATCACAGTCCCTTGGAGGTAGGCTACACCTAAACGACCCTCCTCATCATCCCATCCCTCGACCCGCCGCCTTTGGTTGAAGCCCCATTGGGCGCCGAGGCTTCCAGCTGTTGAGACAGTTGGTGAGAGCTGACCAGTTTCCTTGTGGTTCACCGAATCTAAACAATCAAGGGCTTCATGGTGTTAGTCCTTCCCAGCATTGGGTGCTGAAGCTTCCAAGCCGTCAGTCACCTGCATGGTTGGTGTGCTGGGCCAACGCCATTGACGGGGGCAGCACATGTAGGTGCTAAGTACCCCTAACGAGATTGGATGGCTTGGAAGTGAAATGTTGAAACGAGTGACTCTGCCTTCCACTATGCCTTCCGCCCTCTGATACAACCCCACCCGCTTTCCTCCCCCATTTCCCAAACCCTAAGGCATGCATCCTGTAGCATCCCCCTACCATGCGAAGGCGGTCGAATATCTAGTGTTTCTCCCCAAGGGGTGTAGCCGGATCATAGGCAACACGGCTGATGATCGGAGACTAGCCTCCTCCCTCCATGGGTTGCCTTCCATGACTAGGTTGCACCCCCGAAAGGTCTGCGCGAAGCAGAGCAAGACGGTACACGGGCTGCCTGTCAAGTAGGGCCATCAGTTGCGCTTTGAGGTTGTTGTAAACAAGGTCTTCGGGCCTCCAACAAAGCGATTGGGATACAACCACGCCGAAGTCGCGATCTTCTCCGATAAATAAGAAAAGGTGTTGGTTTAATGAATAGATAAGGAATCAGGCAATGAGTGGGGCCCAATGGAGGACGATGCCGATTAATGAGAGGAGTTCGGTAGTGTAGAGCGTGGCCATGGTGGGGGCGATGAATTCCCACGGCCGGATGGTGATGGTTCAAAATCAAGAAGCGTTGGCTTGCTTAATCCATCCATCCAGTGACAGAGTTTGCTGTGTCCACCTTCCTCAACTGTATCCTGAACTGCCTGAGTCGACGGCTGAGGTCCAGGGAGGTTTCTGGAGTGCCGTACTGGGCTGTGCTGAAGTCTTTGGCACATTCTTTTTGGTGGGTTTCTGGAAGTTCATGTGGCTTGTAAGTTGTACGGCACATGGCCAGTGTGTTTCGGCTTGTCATGTGTGGAATCTTGGCATTCGGCAGGCATGAGAAGGCTGTTGGGAGAGAAGCCATGGCAATTGGATAGGAAATGTCCATGTCTCTGGGCGTCTCCTTCTGTATCTGGTGATTTTTCGAATGTTCTAGCATATACTGTGTAGATAAAATCTAATAGATTAGATATAACCCCACCCTGACCCAATCTGATAATGCATAAATTGACCAAAAAGTTGATTCATTATGCGATATGCGATTTTCTCTGCTTCCTGAGTTGGTTTTGACCCAAAAGTGATGCGTTATGAGAATTATGCATGATGAGATCATGCATTATGAGAACATCTACTGTACATCCACGAAGAATCTGTTGGATGCCTGGACTTGCATAGCCTTTGCATCACCCTTGCCATTTGTGCAGTCATCGAGCAGGAGTTCATTCATGCTGCATTCGTCCGTCTTGCGACGTTTGGCCAGAAGGCGAAGGACAGGGTCCAATGGCCCAGCATGTCTCATAATCGAAAGGTGGAGGCCGTTCCATTCATCCAGCAAATCAACTAGATCTGGCCATCCATGGAGATCGTCAAGGTGAAGCTGCTCCACGTAGCCAAACCTCCTACCCTCGTCTGGAATGTGGCAACACATGATAGTGAGAAGGCTGGTGTTGCTGAAATCCACATAATCAAGCAGGTTGCTCATGGTTCCATCCTCCAAGCCAGTTAGAGTCAAGGTTGCCATGCCTTGCATGCACAACAGTTTATAAAGCATACCCACCTGCCAATGCGAGACGTCAATATTGTACAGCACAACATCACGGTTCCAAAAAATGTGGCAAGGAGGGGCAAGAGTTAGCGCTTTGAATTTTGAGAAGATATGGGACTATTTGCTTGGCATATTTCAACAGGTGTCCATGACCGTGTAGCCAGAAAGATACAGGTCTTCAAGGTTCGTAAGTGGAGAGGAGGCGAGGTCTAGAATCGGCATGGGATCCTCCCCAAAAAGTATGCTGTTCGGGTGCTTGTTGTCGAACTTGCACTTGAGAATCAGGGATTTGAGAGATCTCTTGAGGCATCAGGAAAATGCCCCCCCACCTGAGGTGCACTTGGGTAGTGTCAGGGTGACCTAGATATCCCAGGGAGGCTAGGGAGCCAGCTCCACCAGGTTGTCTCAGGAAAAGGTGCAACAGAACCAATTTCCTGGATGCACCTGGGAGCTACCTGGGAGCTACCTGGGATGTCCTGGGTTCCATTATCAGTACCTAGAGCTTCCTGAGCCATCCTGAATTCACCTAGATCTACTGATAGGATCCTCTATTTCCCTCCCTTAATCAATTAAATCTGAGAATTTAGAATATAATTTAAAATGAATGTATTTTTTTTTATCTACAATATACAATGGAGCCATAACTATTATAAAAGATGGAGGAGGAAAGGGTAGATGTAGCCCAAGGAGAGGTGGTGGTGGTTGTGCAGCCAAGCACAGGTGGCATTGGCAGGTCGGACACAAGGAGGATGGCGAGAGCACATGCATTGTGGGTTGTGGTGGCACTGGGTCGACATGAGGGGAGGTGGTGGTGGTGGTTTGAACACAAGGGGTGGTGGTGGTACGAATGAAAGGGGTGGTGGTTGGCGTGCATGCCTGTCATCGCAACACTAGTGGTGGTGGTGATGCACATGGGCAGTGGTGGTGGATTGAACGAGAGGGGGCGATTGGTGTGCGAGTGTCATCGCAATGCAGGCGGTGGGCGTTATTCGAACACAGAGCGGTGGTGGTGGCAGTGGACCTGTGTGTTGTCAAATGAGGGTGGGGATGGCCAACCTTAAACACAGGCGGTGGGTGGGTGGTAGTGAGCGAAGAAGAGAGAGAGGGCGGACTTACCTGGAGCTGCACCTCTCATTGTTGCAGTCAATGATGAGAGGCAGCAGTGAGGGGAAGTGGGTGTTGGAAGGAAGGAAGAGGCTGCGGTCAAAAATCTGCAAAGTTCAACCATCACATGATTGACACGTCAATCATGTGATTGACATGTCAGATGTGTCGTTGATTGTTGAACGTTGACCAACTGCGTGGAAAAACATCGTCAAGAGAGGGCTTTCTTGACAATGTTTTTCCATGCATTTGATGCCCTGCACATCACATCGTTGTTTCATGCCAATTGGGTCAGTCAGTTGCACTGTAGATTATTGTGATGATACAATTACAGGGCTATTACAATGAGGAGGGACAGCGGAGTGGGTTCTGGGTGAGGCGGGGGCCTAAAAATGGGTTGGGCGGGTCCAGATATGAATGGTAATAATTATCATGGCATCCACAGGGTGCGGGATGGAGCGGTGGGGCTGTAAAAGGCAAAAAACTCGAAAAATCCAGAGTCTTTTGCAATTTTAATACAAAACAATTCAATATCAAATTGAATACTTAATATCTCAGCATAAAACTTTGGGGACATATGTATCTATGGTAGTGGGTGCTCCACAAATATTTTGATCATTTATTATGAATTATGGGATGCGCCACACCACAGGGAATAGCGGGCATGGCCGGTTTTGATGCGCTTTTCCGATTATGTAAGCATATTAATGGCTGGACATCCGTGCAGAATTCCGGCTTCCCCTCGCATTATTTCGCTTAGCTTTGGCTGAGCGAAATCTTGAGTACATTGATACCTTCCTGTAGACACTGTTATCGCATGAAACGGGTGAGAACTCGTTGAGATATGGCAAGTGTGATTTTGGCTACTATAATGGATGGTGCACCCATGCATCCCCAGGCATGTTTAGGGCCATTTAACTTGGCCAAAAATGATAAAATACATCCCTGAGAGTGATGGCATTATGCATAATGGCAGGAGGTGTCTGGGTGTAGTAGATCTGAGGGGGTGTATAGGTACACCAGGAGACCCACTGCAGATACCCCACTAAATGCAGCTCTGACAGCCTGAAAGTTGGTACGTAAATAGTACATATTTATTCATAAATTTAACAAATTTTATCATAATTTTATCTGGCCTTGAAGTTGGGTTATTGACCGATTTTTCAGGGGATAGAATATTCTATTGGCCTCTAGGATGGGAGATATTGGCGCATGTAGAGACATGATAAATGACGATAAATAGAGAGGAACAGATCGAGGTACTTGTGAGGGCAAGGGGATGAGTCTGTGTAAAGGTATTGAGAGGAGAAGGAGGAGGTAATCCCCCACATCAGTATCTATGTAAATGCCTACTAAATCTGCACATCGCACCCATTAAATGGTTCGTTCAGGTCAGGATAATGTATATTAGCATATTCCAGTAGTGACAGATGAGACTCAGATGCCTCAGTGAAATGGTATTTGAGAAATAGTGGAAAATGCATGAAAAACACAAAAATATCTAAAATGAGTACCTCGGACTTGCTCAAAAATTACCAAACTTCATCTATGAGGGTCTGTTAGTGCTCCGAAGAGACTGAAAAATACCAGATGAGATTCCGACCAGTGGGTGGAAAGATATGCAAAAGGACATCAGAATGACAGCACTGGCATCAACACCAGCCATCCATGGGCCTCTGCAGTGACAGACTGCTCAATCCCACTCAGGATGTATGCTCACGTACTGCTAAAATGCACTGTTTGATATAGAATTCTAGCGTACATGGCTGCAGGTACACCCAGGGAGCCTCAGGAAGCCTACTCATTTCACAGATTCCCGGATCCACCTGAGGATTCCCAGGCTAACTTGACATCTCTGGGAATTTAGAAATTACCCAGGTTGATCTGATGTCAGCCCCCATTTTCCTGATGGGGAGAGGGTAACAAAGTGCCTAAGACGGCGCTGTACTTGATAGTTCTGCACCGATGGAAATACGGACGCAATATCTCGATGACTGCATGACTCACTATGTTCTTGTCATCACAAAAGCCTCTGTCTCAGATGGACTTCAGCCAGTGATCGACTGAGGCATCCAAGGGAAAATCTTGAGAGAATCGGAGGGACATCTTCAGGTCAGATATGGTCTCGATGAGTTCAAAATCAAGGAAGACGACAATAGTCGTCCATAAGCATGGCAAGTCCAGGAGTATGTCATGAAAGTGTTTGCAGATGCCAGCAAGGTGATGTGGGTAATGTAGGGGTGGCAGTGGTTTTTTGCATTCAAGAGGATAGTGGCATTCATATTTATCTTCTTTGTCTTCAAGCCTTTTGATGGACTGCTTCCATGTTGCATAATCTGGTTGCGGATCGGCCATATCGAAAATATCCAACAGGAGTTCGATGGGAAGCTTCAGGATAGGAGACTCCTGACGCAAGCATGTTGCACGTGGTTGCCTTCGTGACAAGGGCTTGGCCTTCTTCAAGTGGCACATGTCAAATGTCAAGTTGGATCGAGAAAAACGAAGCCTGGCCACTAGTGCATTCATTTGTGAGTGTTCTTTCATTTATCATATGGACGATGAATGCTCCTACCTGTGTGAGATACAAGGGAAGAAGAGAGATTGGTCGGTGGTTCAAAGGTGGGGGGGGCGGGGCATTAAAAGAAATGAGCATAACAAAGGACCATTTGTTAACAGTCATCGCCGAATCCATCCTCTTTGAAGTTTATGGCCACATGCTTCCAGGCGGCACTGGAAAGTAGCTTAAACATGGCATCCGGGTTGTAAGAGCAGCAAATTTCTCATCTCCTTGTTGTCTTTCTGTGCAGCATGTGCTGAGCGTCTTTCATTGATGCTTGTCCTTACCTGCACTGGGTGTCTAGTGTTGGGTGTCCTTCCTGCGACTGATACTCAGCCTGTCTGTCTATGTCTCCATCTGAGACATAGAGATGAGGGTAGGTGATCCCGACTCACCAACAGACAGCCCAGCAGCTTTGAATGGCTTCTTCAATTAGCCTAAATTGTATTCCACCTGCCCAACCTCAATGAACTCTCCCGCTGTGTGAGCTTCTCAAGACTCCTCGAGTCCACAATGTTACTCACAATGAACCCAAGTCACTGTGGGCAATGCCCTATATCAACCCAGAAGATATTTTGATCCACCCAATCAGAAGGCAGGATCACGATATCCTCCGCCTCGTTCCAAATATTCCCCCAGGGTGTATAGGGCAATGCCTGCAGTGAGTGTATGTCCTCCACCTCCAACCTGATTCAAACAATCATTCTCGCAGCGCTCACGTTTATGCTTGTCTACGAACATACTCGCCAATTGTGGACAGGACAGCCACTGCCATGTGGAGCTACATATGGCCAAAGGTAAGTGTTTCGAGTTGTCAAGGATAACAAGAAAGGACTTGCCTGTATATAGAGCAAGCACCTAGCACCATGTCCACAGAATGATGACACCAGTCCCCCCCTGCCACAGAAACACGGTTCCACCAATTTGAATGGTACCACCTTTGCAGAAGTAGAGAAATTGCAAGTGTTTGTGGGTGAATGACGACTTTCATGACTTGCTGTTGGGTAAAATGAAGTCACAGCCACACCACGAGAACTGACACATCGTGATGAGAGCTTGTGGACAGGATATGAAGGGATGAAAAGACTATGAGAAAAAAATGGTAAGTGCAAAATCATTTCTCATACTGAAGAACTAGACTTACCTCTATTCCTACTTAGATGCCACTCTCAATGTACCTGGCTCTCAGTCCCTCGAGAACTCCCTAAGTCAGTGGCGTTCCTCAACGAACGCGCCTTCCATCATGATACGTTTAAGGACAAGTGGTACCCATGGTCCGAAACGGCCGTAGCCCACCCCCGCCCACACACGAACCCCACGAAGACGATGAAAGCGACGACGAGAGACACTTCCTACTCAACCGAACCTTGGGTTCAAGCCTTGGTCAGTCCTTTTCCACCGTATAGTGGTCACCTTACACACAAGTAAATACCCACCCGTCGTGTCCGCTGAACCCCGTTTACGGTAAGCCCGCTCTCTGTCTCGTCGTCATCACACAACAGAATGGTGCCTAAGGGAATTAATGAAAGAATCAACAAAGAAAGGACAAGATGACATACAGTCGGCGAGTTGGTCGTCCGCGTAGTTCGTATAAGCCCTACAATGAAGATTGCATTTAATGACGCTTCAGATAGACAACAGAGGACGAAGAGCGTACCGGTAGGGTCAGTCCTTCGACATTCCGTTTACGACAGAATTGACTGCGTTGTCGAGGAAGGTAAAACCAGATGTGGCTATGGCGGCTCTATCATCCAGCTCAACGGCGTTACAGACAACCGAAAAGCTCGACCTGGAAGAAACATCTCCAAACGACACTAAGCCTCCAGCCACGCAGACAAGAGACATGGGTAAGAGAAGGGCATACCACCGATGTAGTGAAACCCTCGTTCCCAGTCGCGTTCATGACACCTTGGAGGCCCTTTTGGGACATGGGTGCACGCTAGTGGAGCTTGAGCTTGATCATGACTCAGAGGAACGCGATGAGTACAGACACAGGGTTGAGGGAATGGGGCTCCGCTTCACGAAGACCATGCTCTCACTTCGCCTTCCCTACCAGGACGACAGACAGCCGAGGCGACAGCGAGCGCGAGAGGGGATACTCCACCCAGTGAGCCACTTTCGCGACCACCAGTACCAACCTCCTCCATCTCTGAGGCCCGCCGTACCTACAGGCTTTGCCCATTCCAAGTGGCCGACGGTCTTGAGGCAGAACGAGGAAAGAGGAAAACCGGCAAAATGAGTGGTGAGGCTTTTCCACGAGGTGGTTTGGGAAGCTGAGCATTGGCTGGTCGGAGTCCGTGCACCAACTTACGGTGGGGAAGGAACCGAGCTCGATTGGTACGGCGACGTTCTCCTTTCCGAGATGCTCATAACGAGCGGCGCTTGTGGCACAGTTGTGGAGACACCAGCGCAGACTGGTGATACTTACGAATACCTGGGAGGACGACATTCTCGATAAACCGCTGCCTCGAGTGAAAGAGCCTTCTCTTTCCTTCCAAGCCTTGCACCTGGCTATCGACGAAACTGCAACGGACACAGCCCAAAAATCCCAATGGAGTACAAAGTTAGGAGACCAGCCACCACACGTTTAGAGACGGGAAGGAACGCGGGACGGATCTGGAGTCTGGAGCTGGTGTAATGAAGATGAGACGAAGCTGAGAATGATCATAAATATAGCGGAGGGAAAGCGAGACATGCATCCAAACGACTCAGCCAGCGTTTAAATCCACATTCGCCTGGGAGCTGCCGGAGCCACCACCATCAACAACAAACCCAAGGAGAGACAAGTGCGTCAGATATCATCTGTCCATACGCGCAGGGAACAGAAGTGAAATAGCAGTTGGGCCGAGGGAATGTAGACGACGGGTTGTTACCTTTTGGAGGAGGAAGATTAGAATGGTTTCAACTCACGCATGCAGAGTATTGCTGGACTTGCTACCAGAACTCTAGCGAACAAGCGAACTCAGTGTCTTCGCTTCAGAATAAAGTAATTAGTGCTTATTCACCATTCTACAAACTCAAACACATCAGGACCCGACAGCAGAGACTCCAACCTGCGCAGGTATTCCGGAACAGGAATGTCTTTCTTCCTCAACTTGTCCAAATCATCGCCAAATGCTTCCTCCCCAAAGGAGATGACATTGAATTTCTCGCCGTCGGTGAGGCGCCGCCCTGAACAAAGCCAATGGTCATCTCGATCAACGGCCGCCATAATCTTAAGCATCGCACAGCCAATTCTTGGATCTTGATCGTTGTCGATTCCCAGCAAGTTTTTGATCTTGTCCCAGTCTATCCCGTAGCCTTTGACGTAGGAACCAGACTATAGAGGATACTGAGGTTTGCTTCAGCACACAAGTCGTTTGCTGCTACGAACCATTCTTTTGCGAAAAGACTGGATATTTGTGAGCCTGATGTCAACTGAAAACGCTCAAGAACTTACGACTGGCGGTGGAATGGGCAACTTGACGATGATTCGATGAATGATGGTGGTCGTAGTTGAATGCTTTGTTTGTAGTTGCTGTACATCAGCTTGCTTTAACATGGTGTTGCACAATCCTCTATAAGGTGACGTCCCGGTCACAGGGCCTGTTACACCCTTGTCACGTCCCATTTCTTGAGACAGTGCCTTCCTCCGCTGCACAACAATCCTACGGAGATTTATTCATGTGGAATATGTAGTATAATACATTGTCAAAGTTACTATTAGAGTGAATTTTTAAAATACTAAGCTCATCTAACAAAAAAGTCTGTTGACTGCAAAATCCCTGCCGAATTAGCCATCAAACAGTGCACAGCCCATAACTTTGCGAGGACAAAGATTTGCGACTTGTGTTAGTGGAAAGAAATGTTTGGAATCATAATATAAAGAGTTCTATCAGAGCAGAATTTTTATTTATGGTGCTTAAGTATGAAATACCCCTGTTGGTAGGGCAATTTAAGATACTTACTCAACAGATATAAAAAATCTGTTCTGATAGAGCTCTTTATAATTTTTTAAAAGTCACTTTCTTCTTATGTAGCAAGTCCTCAATCATCAAAATTGACAAGTTATGAGGTGGGCAAGGGATCATATGAAGGATCTTGTTATTCTCATTTATTAATATCCAGAAGCAATAAATGTATTTAAAAATTGTATATACTGAATCCTTGTTTCATCGTGTACAAGTTTCAGTATTGAAGGTTGTGCAAAGATGAAGTCGTTGGCTCGCAATCGAGCACCGAAGGGGCGGAATCAGTGATTGGAGTGCACAGCCACCAAGCCACCAAGCCCGCGCACTCCAATCACTGATTCCGCCCCTTCGGTGCTCGATTGCGAGCCAACGACTTCATCTTTGCACAACCTTCAATACTGAAACTTGTACACGATGAAACAAGGATTCAGTATATACAATTTTTAAATACATTTATTGCTTCTGGATATTAATAAATGAGAATAACAAGATCCTTCATATGATCCCTTGCCCACCTCATAACTTGTCAATTTTGATGATTGAGGACTTGCTACATAAGAAGAAAGTGACTTTTAAAAAATTATAAAGAGCTCTATCAGAACAGATTTTTTATATCTGTTGAGTAAGTATCTTAAATTGCCCTACCAACAGGGGTATTTCATACTTAAGCACCATAAATAAAAATTCTGCTCTGATAGAACTCTTTATATTATGATTCCAAACATTTCTTTCCACTAACACAAGTCGCAAATCTTTGTCCTCGCAAAGTTATGGGCTGTGCACTGTTTGATGGCTAATTCGGCAGGGATTTTGCAGTCAACAGACTTTTTTGTTAGATGAGCTTAGTATTTTAAAAATTCACTCTAATAGTAACTTTGACAATGTATTATACTACATATTCCACATGAATAAATCTCCGTAGGATTGTTGTGCAGCGGAGGAAGGCACTGTCTCAAGAAATGGGACGTGACAAGGGTGTAACAGGCCCTGTGACCGGGACGTCACCTTATAGAGGATTGTGCAACACCATTTAACATCGCGTGATTTACGATCGGTCTTAATTGGATTTATATGCTTGGTGTGGTGCCATCGGCATTTGAGGTACTGTATCCGGTCCGGTAACGGGTCACCCTGTGTGACGCTTGCCAAGATAAGCGTCGTAAGCTGGTAAGCGTCGCTTACGCCAGCGTCGTGAGCTCCCCTATTGATTTCACCATCGCATAGCATTCCACTTCGCCCAGATCTTGAAGGAGTATGCACAATACTCCTGCTGAAAGGTATCTACATCAATACTTTACTGCCTGATGTCTTCATAGTCTTATATTCGCCAGACCTCCATCCATTTCCGCAAACGATGGCCCAACAGTGCCCTCTGGCAGGTGCCCCTTTGATATCCTAGTGACTAGGAAAATGAACAGATTCCAGGACCATGAAAGTCTACTTTACTTGCACAAACTTGCCTATGCTTCCGTCCAAGGCGTGCTGGACGAAAGTGTAGCATACGGCATTGTCAATGAAATGCTCATTGAGCACAAGCAAGTCCTTGGACGAGATTTCTTCATCATCTTCCCTCAACTCCGTCTCCCTTGGAACCCTGACAGGCCAAAGGACCGACGTGGCAACATACCCGATGTCGGCCTTGGCCGCCTTACAGGCAGCGGTGTCAGACATCTCCAAGGAGGCATAGAACAAAAAGTCGCCACCGAGCTGATGAGAAACCTTCCAAATCCTGACTCAATCGTCCATGATAAAGCAGTCCAACTGTCCATTAATCGAGCCATCATTCAAGCAGAGGACCAAGTCAAAGCTGCGGTCAAGAATGGTGCGATCCCCTGTAACACCGCCATCGACTGGATTATCGCATCTGGTCCATACTTCATCATCACGTCTTTTGGACCTTTCACCGAAGCGCAGCTCAGCACACGTTCGCATCGGCCAAACGCAAGCGGCGATGCCTTACTGGCAGAAATCGCTCAAGAACTAAAGGACACTGCTGATTCTACACCAATCACGAAGACTTTGCACCTCATCGGCACGGAAGAGGCTGCTGTTGCCGTTCATAACTACCTCGTGTCAGGAGCTCAGTTATACAACTCGACAGACCGGAATTACCCCTAGACTTATTATTGAATACAAAAGACAGCTTTCAACGAGTTCATCTTCCCGCGACGTGCAATGTACTGTACTATTATGACCTCCAGTTCACATACATCGAGCAATGAACCTGTATTTTTTTTTACCATAAACATGAAGCCTCCCAGTCGCACCGCGTTTACTTATCGCATGGAATCAACGTGCCTCAGCACTCATGTGCACGCTCTAAGTAATCAATACCTCTTTCGACCGGTCTCTCTCTGCCTCCCGAACTCAGCCTACACTTGATAAGTTTGAGGTCCAACTACTGTGTCCCAAGTACCCTCTGCCCCTCAGCTCCAGCGACCATGACGACTTCGACAGGGACACCCACGACCTACCCATTCTGGACCAGCGATGGCCGTAATCTGGCAAGAGAAGATGTGCGGAGACCTTCGAGGTCCAGACCGGGGCCGAGGGACATCTGAATTCAGTTGAGTACGCCCTTTCATGATGACGGATGGTTACCTCTACCTCCATTCCCTCACAGCCCCATCATCATCAAAGCAGGAAGATCGAAACAATGACGCCCTTTAACATCCGTCCCACGTGTAGCTTAGGCTGATGTCAGCCTGGGTGAAGCTGAAACCATAGATGATGAGCATCGTACAACACGGGCATTAGACATGGGCGCAAAATGTAACAGGTACATATGCACCTCCTTTATTGTTGCATTGTGCTGACTTTCGTTCTTGAAGAACCCATCCCTCTCTCAACGTGTCCAATAAGAGTGCTTACGATACCACGACGTTATGGGTTAGGGAGGGTATCCAGTCATGAGCTTCTTTGCCCGTCGAGCTGGAAGAGTGGACACCATTGTCATCGCCTGCATTTGCGTACAGCTTGGTTTCCAGATGATGATTTACATGGCCTTTGGTGCGTCGACCCCCCCGATGATTCCAGTCTAGAACTCACATTTTCGGCCTGTAGCTTCCCTCCAGATCTTGCTGGTGCAGTCCATCCCGGAAGGAGGCCCGATGGGCATGCTCAATGGTGTTGCCCAAATGCTGTCATCGGGCACGCGGTCCATCGCACCTACCTTCGCTTCTTCGCTCTTTTCCGTGTCGTTGCAACGTCAGCTTCTTGGCGGAAATCTCGTCTATCTCGTTCTCATCAGTTTAGTCCTCGCCGGCATTCAAGCTGCCAAATTCCTTTCAAACCCGCCAGAGAAGAAGGAAAACAGGAGGTCGCAGCAGTCGACGTGAGTCGGCATGATGGCCCAGAACTCGAGCATTGATCAGAAGCAACATTCGAGTGGGGTCTCAGTGTCGCTTTCAGGATTTTATTTAAAGGTATAGCCTCTGAACGATGACGCCCCCGATGACTCTGCACAGTTCCTTTCCACTCCTCTTCGTTCCCTTCTCTGAGCGTTGATGCTGACGGCCCTCTCTGGTTGACGGCCCTATACACCTTCCGCACCCTTCCTTGGCTCAATCACGCAAGCTCTTATACCCCATTCTCATTGCGCACACCAAGCCTACTCCCACCTTTCCTGGTTCGAACCCAAGATCTTGCCGCTTCGAGCCATTCTTTTTACACCCGTTTCGTGTCGTCACTCCGTAACTCGCCACTTTGCCCGAGGTAAGCCGTATTCTGCCAATATCTGGCACGAATAGGAGACTGATGGCAGTCGACAGTCTCGAAATGTTTACCATTCACCGAGCACCACGATATTGATAATTCCAACTTTTTCCCGTTCCGAAGCCGGAGGAGGATTACCCCCAGACAGTCGACCACGAAGAGCTCAAAGATTACGCTCGCAAGCTGTTACAGTTCTCGAGATACCAGGGTGATATATCTGAAGATCATGTCGACGTCACCAACAGTCCGTACAACGAGCTCGACATTGGTTTGCCTGGCAATTGGAACGAAGACGACTTCAGCGCTACATTCTTCTCCGGTGGAGACCTGGAGGGGGAGGAGTACGACGACCCAAGCGGCATGGAGGACTACCGCGAACCGGACACGCCTTGCTCCCGCGGGAGCGTGAATATCTATTCCTTGCGAATTACGTATGTGTACACGTATCCTGGACGGTCTCACCTCACGTATTGAACTTCAACTTTGTCGGAAACCTCCAGATTACATGCCAGTCATTGTCGCGCCTACGTGATCACGTCGAGTCCGTTTTTTGGGTCCCCTCCTTTGACCCTCCTCATGCATTCCTACGTACATCAATGCATCATTCATTACTTTCAGGATTGAACGTTGAACTCCTACCCCCGTGCATCCTCTAGTTACTACTCAGTCAAGTCACGGACGCTGCAAGTCACGACACGTGCCAAGTATGTGCTGTCACGTCTCTGTCGGGCGTCGAGTCTCGACGTCGTCCACACCTCCCTTCTTCTTTGTGCTGCGTATGCTTATCATGAAGCCGACGAGGGCATCGATTTGATATACCCACATAGGAGTAACGACGAAGTTGATAGACCTGCTCCACTCAAGGCCCAACCGGCATCCGCGACTTTGTTGAGAGTTCCAACACCCTCGAAGGAGCGAAACGATAAGGACGTCACACTGAGTTCTAGGAAGATGGCGAGAGGACACCACCACCATCACCACCATGCCGCCTCGCCCGCAGCATCGGCGCTGCCCAAAGTCGAGTTCGAGATCGCCAAGGACGACGTGATGAAGCTCCCCGCGGGCGTGCACGAGGCGGCGCCGAGGGCGTATGGATGTGCGTCTCTCTTTACCTTTATCTTATTCCTCCACTCTCCCGTCCTTCGCTTTCGTATTCATCTTTTTTGGGGAGAGCTAACATACGCATGCATCTGCACAGATAACGACTTCTCCGAATTTCGACGGCCGGACCACTACATCCGGCACATCGAGCCTCTCGAGAGCGACCTCGCAAAGCTCGTCGAGTATGATATGGATGAGCAAGGTTAGTCCAGTTCTGCGTTCGGACCGAACGAACGTCAGATGGCGCTCAATACTGATAAGTATTGGGGATTGTTTAAGACCAGGAATGGCTCGAAGCTGTCAACGCGGACCGTAAGAAGGACCAAATGGACAAGGTCTCGCTGGAGGTGTTCGAGATTATGATGGACCGGTTGGAGAAGGAGTGGTTTGACTTGGTGGGTGGCTTTCGTTATTTATTCGTTCTCTTGTCCGTTTCGTTTGGGTTTCGGGGTGGACGAAGCACTTAACGGAGGAGACTGACTGACTGACTTGTGGTGATGTTTGTGCACAGACGAAGAACATACCGAAGCAGGACTTTGCGATGCCCTCGGAGGACTCGACGTGTGCGGTCTGTGACGACTCGGAGGGCGAGAACAGTAACGCCATCGTGTTCTGCGACGGGTGCAACCTGGCAGTGCACCAAGGTGCGTTAGTTTCCTCTCATCCCCCGCTCCATCTTATCCACGTCCCACATTCCCAACTCATACCCACCCTTATGAATAACACTCTAGAATGCTACGGCGTACCCTACATCCCCGAGGGCCAGTGGCTCTGCCGCAAGTGTACCGTCTCACCTGAGAACCCCGTCTCGTGCATGCTCTGCCCGAACGAGGGCGGCGCGTTCAAGCAGACCACGCACGGGGACTGGGTGCACCTCCTCTGCGCGATCTGGATCCCTGAGACGCGCGTCGCGAACGATGTGTTCATGGAGCCGATTACGGGTGCGGATAGGATCTCGAAGCAGCGGTGGAAGCTGGTGAGTAGGGGTTGGGTTGAATTGAGTATGGTTAGAGAGATGGCTGATTGTTTTTTTGGGTTAGAGATGCAGTGTGTGTGAGGTCAGGGCGGGGGCGTGCATACAGTGTACGAAGCCGTCGTGCTTTGTGGCGTTCCATGCGACGTGTGCGAGGAAGGAGAAGCTGCTGATGCCGATGAAGAGTGCGCAGGGTGCGGAACCGGCCTCGCTGATGTGTTTCTGTGACCGTCATCTTCCTGTGTGTCCTCCTTTCCTCTACCTCCTCTCCTCTCCTCCCCTGACCCGTATCTCCTCCAGCAAGAACAACAAGACGCCCGCCAGGCCGCGCTAGAAGCCGAAGAGGAGCAAGAAGCCAATCTACCCCCCGCCGCACAGTCCAAGTCCGCCCGGGCATACGCGAAGACGTACAAGCCCGGCCCGCCACTCGTGCCCGCCCTCATCGTGGACAGGATCATGGAGCACACATATAGGATCCGCCTGCGCAAGAAGCTCGAGTTCGTACAGCAGCTCTGCCGGTACTGGGGCTTGAAGAGGGAGGCGAGGCGCGGGGCGCCGCTGTTGAAGCGGCTGCATTTGGAGCCGTGGACGGCGAGCTCGGCGGCGAAGGTGTTGAGTCGGGAGGAGAGGCTAATGAGGTTGGATGTGAGTCTTCTTCCGATGGTAGCGAAAACGTGCTCGTTTTCTGATGATTTTTCTTCTTCGTGTGTGCAGCAATTGCAACGGCTGCGACAGGACCTCGTCTGTGTGCGAGAGATGACAGAGCTGTCCAAGAGACGAGAGTCGAGAAAGATGAGGCAGGTCGAGATCGTCTGTGAGGTCCTCATGGAGGCCTTCTTCCCGCATGTTGGAGCGATGCGGATAGTGTTCGACAAGATCGTCGCGTAAGCTTTATCCTCGTCGAGTGTCGCGAGGACCTGTGGCTTACCTTTGGCCTTGTAGCATGGACAAGTCAGATCATTTCAAAATGCCCGTCTCGAAACGGGATGTGCCAGATTACTTCGACGTCATCAAGAAACCGATGTGTTGGGACATCATCGACGCCATGTTGGAGCAGAATCGGTATTGGGATCTGCAGAACTTCTTGGTAGATGAAATCATAATCTCTAGCGACTTGTTGTCTGACTTTGGTTGCCTACGGATTGCAGGACGACGTCAATCTGGTATTGGACAACGCTCTGCTGTATAACAAATCTGGCTCGCCCTTCTACAGGCTCGCGACGAGGATACACAAAGATTCCAGGCCACTTTTGGCGAGTCTCGAAAAATGGCGTGTCGCTCATCCTCCTGTGCCATCAGCCTCGAAATCCATGCCAAATGGACAGCACCACACGCCTACAGGGCCTGAAAACGAGGGGGAGAACGCCGAAGCAGAGCAGGCAAAATTTGAAGACGGAGAAATTGACCCACCACAACCGCTGGTGGGCGACCTCGAGCCTCCGATGGCCATTCTCGAGCTTCTGCTGTCCCCTGCAGGGATTGCGGCCGACCTTAATATTGAGCTCGAGGGTGCACCGATCGAGTCGCTGTTCAACTATGAGCTGGCACGCGTCAAGCCACCGCCGCCCGACTCTCCGACCGTCATGCCCGTACCGTCTCCAGAGAAGATGGAGCAGAAGGAGCAGGCGGCGAAGAATAAGGCGAGTAGGACAAAGAAGCCGAAGAAGGAGCGAGACCGGAAGGCAGAGGCGAGAGCCAGGGCGGAAGCGGCTGCTGCTGCTACCGTAGAAGCTGCAAAAGCTCAGCAAGACAAGGGCGAAAAGGCTGTTGAGGCTGATGACGAGGGTGAAGACGAGGAGCAGGAAGGCAGAGGCAACGAGATGGAAAGGCCGAGAGAGGATAGGAGTAGGGACAGAGGACGAGACCGCGAGCTGCAGGCTGCGTTGGATGCCTCTGCTGGGTTCCGAGCTCCTCGGACTAGGAGTGCCTTGGCCGCAGCTGCCGCCTTCGAGGCGGAAGCGACTCGCGGGTCCTCTCCAGTCGCCAGCCCCTCCGTAATCGCTCTTCCACGTCCAGCTCTGCCTCTTACCGTTCAGGACGCCGTTGCTTCCTCGACGTCAACCCCAGCCAACTCAGAATCGCCGGGCTCGAAACCGGTCAGCAAGTCGAAGAAACGGCCGTCCATCGTCACGATGGGCCAGCCAGGCTCGCCTCGGGTGGTCAGCGATGTGGATAACCGAGATTCATTCAGTTTGTTCAACGCTGGATGGATTCTGCCTCCGGACCAGAAGAGAGGAGGAAGGACGTCTGCTGCTGATAGGGATCGGCAGCAGCAGCAGCAGGTGCTGTCTCCGCCCAGGAAGAAGCAGAAAATTGGTATGTCCTGTCTTGTCTATGTTTATTGTTGAGCTGACAGTTCAGCGGCGTTAGACCGCCCTGCTTCGAGGTTGTCGGTTGTTAGTACGGCTGCATCGGACAACCAGACGCTGAGAAGGACGCCTCCGTTCTCTTCTGATCCGCCTGAGATGAAGCACCATCCAGAGGACACGATGGATGTGCCCATGGACGTCGACGCACCAGAGGACTACCATGGCGAAGCTTCTGCAGGAAGGCAATACTCTTCGGATGAGTTCGAGGTCGATGAGGTCAATGGCCCACACCATGTTGTCACTCTGCCCAACGGGGACATCATCATCGAAAAGCTGGATACCCCTGCCATTCGGAGGGAAAAGAGTATGCGGAAGAAGGTCGAGAAACAGCAGAAGCAGGCTGTGCTTACTGCTGTTGTCGATCCTGGCACTGGTGTTCCAGACGAGTTTCTTCTGGCCAGCAACGTCCCACAAAGCAAAGGCAAGGAAAGACAGCTCGAGCACGAGGAAGACTTGTCAGCTGCACTATTACCATCGGCCGACGACACAGAAGAAGACAAAAATGCCGGGGCGGGCCACGACGGCGATGAATCAGAGTTGAGTGAATTGAGTGACGAGACTGAGGACGAGGACGCTATTGGAGACGAGGAAGTCAAGGAAGTCAAGGAAGAGAAGAAGAAACCACCGCCTAAGAAGATCCCGGCACCGAGAGCCCCGAGACCTAAAAGAACGAAGAAACCACCAAGGGTGGAGCAGTTCGAGGATGGTACGATAGGTACGACGATCCTGGTCTTTCGGTATATTTGTAACTGACACCTTTCTGTTTTACCAGTCTGGGCAAAATCGGGTAAGCTTTCCAGTTTTAGTTACGTTCTTGTGCTGATCCAAGTCATGTCTTCAGAATCCTTTCCTTGGTGGCCAGCGGTTGTCTATGCCAACGAGAACGATGCCGTCCCACAGAATATTCTTGAAGCCCATAGAATCAAACGTCAGAAACGCAAAATTAAATTGTTCATCGTACAATTCTACGACAAACAAAAGTCCTGGTTCGTTGTTCGCCATTTTCTACTTGGTGTCGGATTGAAGGTAATTTGTGCTCAGGCAAAGCGTTGCGCGAGATAAGCTTCAATTGCTTGGCGAAGACTCCAGCAAGTCTACATAGTCTTTATCCTCTTTTCTCTGCTAAACCCTCGTCCCATCTAGAACTGGACCAGCAGATGCTCTCATCTACATCCACTTTGCAGAAATGGAAAACCCCTGCGTCCAAGAAGGAATGCCGTGAAGCGTACAGGCACGTGGTGTCATATCGTCTGGTTGTTTGGCCCCTGACCTGTGAATTGTAGACAAGCATTCGCAGACATGGATCACGGCAGCCGTACCGAAGGAACCTTCAAGCTTGCAGACGACAGCGATGACCACTGATCGTTTTTAGGCGATTTCTAGCATTCTATTTCTCAGTTTACGTTTCCCGTTTATTTTTGCTGTTTTGTCTATGTTGGGTTCGGGAAGTGACTGCATGTTTGTGAGCCCTGCCGCTGTTCCATACTCTTTCACTGAACCTAGAACCTTAGATATATCTTATATACCTGCATTTGTACCATCAATTGTAACGATTTGGATCCGCCCCACCTTCGTTCTCGCTTCACGAGCATGCAAGGATACTGAATTTGTGGGCGGCGTCGTGTTTTACGTTGCTACGATGACAAAAAGGAAAAGAACGTCGCCGGAGATGCCTGGAAAGACTCCCTTCGTGCTAAATTTGGAGAGTCGTGGTCCCAGTGCGTTTGTTCGTTGCTGCGATATCCTTGGAATTTCGTAAGTCTTCTCTCTTCCTTTTTCCAAGAAAGCAGCTGAGGATAAGGGAAAGGGTGGAAGGCTTCCCTATCATTTCTCTTGGCACCTTCGTGGCATACCTCAATGGCGCTCTTCCATGCAAACAACTAACGACCAAGTGTCGTGTTGAGAAGAGCTACGAAGTCTTACACGCCAAGCACCGGGATACGGCGAGTTGGACAATACGATGACGGTAGCACGACTTCGGCTAGATGGATTTTGTCATATGGGAATAGATATGTCGATTCGAATTCTTCGACTTCGCCAGAAGCGTTCACCTCTCAGTAATAAGGCCAGTGTACGAACCATTCGGCTGCATACCATTATACCTCATACCGTCATGAGCGAACCCACCACTCTTTTGATGACCCTTCGAGACCTTCTCGATAGCCGCATCGTCCTATTTGCTGTCGCGAGCGCCGTTTATTGGGTAGGCCTGTCGTATTCTCGAGGGGAGACTCGGAGAGTACGTTCGAGGTCAATCATTGTGAAAATCACTCCTTAATACCTTTTCACAGCTCGTGCACATTCCGACAGTAGGCCCCAGCGCACCTCTTTTATCTTACTTCGGGGCATACAGGTTAGTTGCCGACGCACGGAGCGTCATTTATACTGGTATTTCCAAGGTGCATATAGCATTACTCTACCATATTTTCTGTGACTCCTGACTAGTTTCTGCGCAGTACCCTAACAGCATTTTCAAAGTCCCGCATGTGCTTCGTTGGCTGGTAGTCATTACGGACCCCAAGGTTATCGATGAAGTCCGTAAACTCCCAGACAGCATCTTATCGTCATTCGAGGCTGCCACTGAGGTAGGCGATAGCTCCTCTTAAAGACCCAGTGAGGTACACTGACTTTGTCGGACGTACAGTCAATTCAAACAGAATTTACGCTCGGAAAGCCCATCAGAGACAATCCGTACCATCTATCGATTGTTCGAGTACAACTGACGCGTGCCATTCCTCAATTGGTCCCTGCCTTATATGACGAGATTGTGGCGTCGTTCAATGATCTGATTCCGGCAACCGACAGTGAGCGCCATCATTATGCTGAGGCTTTGATCTAAAGGAAATCATTTCAAGACTGGATGAGCGTAAAGATTCTTGATACCATGATGAAGGTAGTTGCTCGAGCGAGTAATCGTGTTTTCGTAGGACTACCGCTATGTAAGTGTCATCGCATATACTGACGGTTCACTGTGGCCTATCTGCTGAATCGCCCAAAGGCAGAGATCCCGAATACACTGCTCTCAATGTCCAATTTACCCTCGATGTCGTCAAAACCAGCTCTATCCTCTGCTTGTTTCCGCGGCCTTTCCGCCCGTGAGTTTCTCTCTCATTGAACGGGCCTCCAGTCTAATCGCAACCTGTAGTTTTGTAAACTCCTTGATATCTGATATCCCGAAACGGGTCGCCGTTGCTTTGAAACATCTGGCACCTGTATTTGCTGCTCGTCGAAAGGAACGTGAGGAAAAGGGCGACGACTATCCTGCCAAACCAGTGAGCATTCCCGTCTTCCTTATGTCCGGTAATTGGATATTGACTAACTCCAATACTTAGGTTGACCTCATAACATGGATCATGGATTTGGCCAAAGATAAAGAGGAAGAAAGCGACTGGGACCTTACCTTGCGTGTCTTGACTATCAACTTTGCTGCGATTCACACGTCTTCCATGGTACGTAAGTCCAACCTGTAGTTTGGCATCGCATCTCAGAGTCACGTCGTTTGAATATCTACAGACCTTCACGCATGCATTCTTCTACTTGGCTGCATATCCTGAGTACCTCAAGCCACTACGTGAGGAGGTCGAAAACGCCGTGAGGAAATATGGATGGACGAAGGAAGGCCTTGACCAGATGCAACATATCGATAGTTTCATCAAGGAGTCGCAGAGGCTTAATCCCTTGTCAATTGGTGAGTAATTTAACATTCGTGCTTTCGGAGAATCCACGCCGACGAAAGTATTTGACTTTACAGTCTTGGTGCCCCGTGTGGTGCTCAAAGATCACGTCTTTTCGGATGGCACAATGGTGCCGAAGGGCACGACTATCGCGACCAGCTGCTTGCCCAATCCAACCGCTCAGGTTCTCTTCAGGAAGCGCGCCGATATCTAGGGACATCACTGCTGATTTTCTGCCTCATTCTGTACATAACGCTCTTCACTGTTTAGATTTATCTTCCATCGTTAATTTATATCGATCGACGATTGCTAGTCTACAGTGAATAATTGGGTTGTTCTTCACCGGTTTTTACTGCTCGATCGACGGGGTCAAACCTATGGGCCATATAGAGTGCAAAAAATCCAAGTTGGGGAAGTTTAGAAAACGGTATGAAAAACGGTGAGGTTAAGAGGGATGTAAAGAAAAAGATGATTTCATAGATGTTAGAAAGTGATGATGTTGATATTGTGAAATGGTGAGGTGGATCCGTATCAGAAAGTGATGAGGTTGGGTGAGTCTCCAAAAAGTGGTGAGGTTCAGCGGGTATCAAAAAGTGGTGAGGTTCAGTCAGTTGTGTGGTGATGTTGGGGACTTCAAATTTGGCAACAGTCCCATGAGGATGTGCCCTCTGACACGAACGCATCAGGCAAAAGGATCTGTAACCGGTTCTTTCAATGACATAGGATACAAACGTGGTGTTAGAGTTTAGAAGATCTGTGCTTCCATAACGAGCACTCCACCTTGACAATAAGCGCCCAAACATGCTGTCACTTGCTCAGGTTCAAACCTCCGTCCTAAGCTGACTTCTGAAGCCCACAAAATTCGTGCTGAGACCATGAGTTGTGCTACTCGCTTCTCTGTCCATTACACGAACAAAATTATGTCTCCCACAAGGACGCAAGGCCGACTCTCTGTGCAATTTTCAGTCTCTTTCGACCCTGCTGCGCCCGTACGTCATCTACTATGTTCGTCCATCGATTGTCCTCATCTATTTCTTGCAGATGTACACCAACACACACACCAAACACAAGGGAGGTCCTCCAGACCAACGAAAGCAAAAGGCCAAGGATGACAATGGGCTGTCACCAAAGAAGAAGAACTCATCTAGTTCTGCACCTCCAGGCCCATCGGCCAAGCAGACAACCTCAACCACTAAGCGAAGTGTGAGCGCAAAGAAAGCCACCAAGCAGTCTGCCCCGAAAACCCCCAAACTGAAGGATGAGACATTCACTATCATCCTTCTCTCCGTCAACAATCTGGACAACAATGGCTTCCTGTTCACCCCAAATCAAAATGAGTGAGCCTTATTTTCTTTTGCTTTTCTATCCAGTCAGCCCTCATATACTTTCTATCAGGTTGACTGCCCTTCTTGACATGGAACTCATCAAGAAGCTCACCCTCTCCCCTTCCGCTAGGCCCCATGAAGTCGATGCTGCCATTCGCGGCCTGTTTCCCCTTCATCCCTTTGTCCTGGCTGAAGACCTCTGGGGCTGGTGCCTATTGCAGGTTGAGGCTCACAAAGGCCAGTCCCCTCGTCTCATTCCATCTATCCTGCGGTCTGGGGAGAATATCTATGCTGACACATTCAATTGGTGAGTATAGACCCTCATTCCTTATCACTAGCTGACCTATCCATGTAGGGCCTCCACTCTCAAGCATCCTCAGCAGCCAACCTTGAAGAAGGTTGTTTACATCACCCTGTGCAGAGGGGCAGCACGCTTTCCACTCTCGACCGATGAGGTCAATTCTGGCAGAGAAATGGACTCCGAATCCGAGAATGGCAATGAAGCTGTGTCCAATGTGATGAATGTGAGTATTCTCAGTCTTTACTACCGCGGAGCAGGCACTTACTTCTTCCCAGGACGCTCCTGAGCCCAAGGTAATCATCCATCCTACTCATTTATGATCACTTCACTCTAACCCCCATTTGAGTTCACTGCTGAGATGAACATGACAGACAGTGGTGCCTGTCAGCAGGTAAGTGTCCCCACCCTTCCACAGGCACTTATTCGACCTATACTTTGTACAAGGATGACAATCTGTTTGTGTACAACTACGGTGTAGGTCCATATTGGCTCTCTCGTGTCTGATTCTCATTACCCCTTCAGTCTCAGTCACCAGACCAGAAAGAGGGACCCTCACTGTACCATGAGGACAAGTATCAACACTTGAAGGTGCATTTCACCTATTCTGTCCCTATTCCACCTTTTCCTGACTCCTAATATGTGTTCAGGCCACCGTTGATGACAAGTATTTTGATGTTGAGAAAGACATCTGTAAGCCTATCATTTCCATTCAGTGCTGGCTCATACTCACAGTTATCCAGGTGACATGAGGATTGCCGTTGTGGCCTGCCTTCTATGCAACATTGCAGAGCCATACCCCCCCCCCAGCTGGTAAGCTCTGTCACTGCTCTCATCTATCCTCTACCTCTCATTGCTTCCCTCGCAGTGGTGGCCGGAGAGTTTGCATGGCGACTACGGGCTGATCCACTCGCAGCTTGAGAACTTGCACAGCTGCTGGCTCCAGGCCATCGTCTCCTGTGACCCCAACAACATGGCCGTTCTCCATGGAGAACTCAATGACTCACTCCCTCTCTTAGACTTCCTCAAGGACACCCAGCAGATTCACCACGGTCCTTATGGTATCCGCCCTGTGGTCATCTTTCTGGTGAGGTACCTGTGGCTCCTCTCCACTCTGCACAAAGTCGGTGTTATCACCTTGCAAAGGCCCTGAAGTATGCCGCTGCAGTAGACAGTGTCATTAACAATATTGACCGGCTCGTCTGTGCATTCTGTTACACGATTCCCTGCAGTCTTTGGGACCCTGCTAATTTCCAGCTATTCTGCCTCATCTACAACAAGAAAAAGCAGACATTTGGGGTCAGTAATTCCTTGATTGGCCTTTAGCAGGACTAACATACCTGTACTCACAGGAAGCCTTGTCCGAGGATCGCTTCCACATCCTCAAGCTCCCTGATCTTGATCAGTGCCAGTCCAATGAGCTCACCAACATCCTTGCTGAGGACTTTGGAGCTTGGAAATTATCTGGTATACCACCATCCAAACTCCTTTCTGGACCTGACAGCCTCAATGGCCTCCTTGAAGATGTCGTCGAGCCATTCCTGGACTCCTGCCCCACCTTCAGTCCAGACTATAGCCTAAAGTTTCTGATTTTTTTGGACTTCTTCCATGCTCTCACTGCCACCGTTGAGCCACCTGTATCAGCTAGAAAAATATAGAATACAAGGCAGTTTCCTAACTATGAATTTAAGCCCTGGAGGGCAATATGCTACCTTCCACTTTGGGAAGGCTCTTCTAATAAGAGGGAGGGGTTGCTGAGTGCCCAGCATCTTCAAGGGTGATGAGGAGGGGGTAAATAAATTAGTAAGCATCCATTTCCGGGGTGGATGGGTGGTGGGAGGTGCAGGAGGGGCTGGAATGGGGGCAGGACAGGCCAAGCAGGACCCCGGGGCACTGCAGAGAACTGGTCATGTGACCTGTTTGCTCTGCAGCCTCAACTGGGGCCGTTTTTTGTGAAAAAAGTGCCCAGGGCCAATGTGATAGTATGTTACTGTATGTCATAAAAAAATCAGGAGAATCTGGGATGTGGAATGTTGTGAAACGGCGCGTATGAGGTGTCACCTTAACTTGGTGCGCGTTTATTTTTAGCACAAGCTGCTAAATTGGGATCTGGCATCAAAATAGCCATTGCTGGCGCATTTCGGGCTCGTTTGGCTTTCCCCTGGGTGGAAATTGATGGGAATGATGACGCGATAATTTTGAGGGAGTTCATAGCTACCTGTGGACACCCAGAACATGGGAATACGACCATTTTTGGCGATGTTATGGCCCTAACTGTGCTTCTATGCACAAAAATGCGAAAATGCGCACCTAATGCTCTGCCTCTCATGCATCCCTGCCTCATAAAAACTAGCCGATACTTTAGTATGCTACTAGAGCTTAAGAACAAGCCAATAATAATGGCCTTGCATGCATTATTGGTTATGCAATGGGCCTTTCGATGTTTATGTGCTAAAAAATCGAAAAAGCGCATTCAAATCTCTATGCCACACAGGTATCTATCCTTCCGAAACATTATGCGTTCAGATAGAGGTTATCAAAGGCTACAGAACGCGCTATTCAGCGTCTCCACACGTTCATTTGTTACAAAGATATACCCAAGACACTCACAAGATACCAGAAAAATCGAAAATGTGCACTCTTATATCCCTTCAAGGAAAGCTGGGGTTATTCCTGTCACTCCAACATAATCTGAACACTATCCTAGCACCCTCCCTTTCTTTTTCTGCCCTCAAGACTGTGTAGAAACACCCCAATTCCATGACCAAAGACACTTCCTCCTTCTTGCCTGGGGGATCCCCACAATGTTGATGGTGGACATGGCATCCTTCTGGCATGTCCTGTAGTCCCCAAAATCTCCTTCGATAGTTCGAAATACTTACTATACTATTGTTATAGTGATAAAAAAAAAGTCCGATGTAAATTGAATAAGAACTGAATATGTTATTCATGCAACTGTCCTTCTGCCTTCTCAAATGCCCTCTCCAAGATTCTACCTCAGATTGGAGGTATAATCCTTGCTCTAGAATTTCGTAAAAATATGTTTAAAATAGATATTATAGAGTAGAGTAATTATAAGGTGTTTGCAAATGCCTCTCAGAGGTGTGAGCAATGATACTATCTCCAGTTTCCGGGGTGAACACATTTGACAAACTAGGCAATATGGTGATCACCACTCCTCACCAGTCTGTTTGAGGTTCATTTCAAACCTCTTGCCTTCCACAATGACCCAGTCACAATAGAACTTTTTGAGGATACTTAGATGTAGTCAGTAGAATGTCTCTGCATGGTCTGATTAATATTATATATCCTTGATCTCCTTAAAAGTGGCAATCAGGTCAATTTTATGTTATCTAAGGTGTCAGATTGGTCGTCTCGGAGGTGTCAAAATTTGAAGAGGAGATTGTTCCGATTCTGGGACATGTTTTTTCTTGAATATTGGTGAAGAATTGGGCATCCCATGGGGCAAACAAGGTTATTATAGGTAGAAAACCCGAAATTGGCCACTGCAAGTGCATTTGGCATTATCAACTCCTGTATTCTTGCATGGAGGTACCTATATGGCTACTATTTATGTTAAAGCTCACACAAATAGCCTGGGGAATGGGAAATGGAGGGCGCATTTTTGGCTTTTCAGGGGGAGGAGGAATGGGTGCTTATATTATATTAAAGGGCAGTCTATACTATGCTATGTGATTGTAAATGGTGACTAGGTCACTGGTTGAGACTGACTGAAAGGTTCTACAGGTATTGAGTAAGAATTGGAGGAGATACAGAAGCTTGCTTTTTGTGATATTGAGGGATGATGAGTGTCTTGGGTATATCTTTGTAACAAATGAACGTGTGGAGACGCTGAATAGCGCGTTCTGTAGCCTTTGATAACCTCTATCTGAATGCATAATGTTTCGGAAGGATAGATACCTGTGTGGCATAGAGATTTGAATGCGCTTTTTCGATTTTTTAGCACATAAACATCGAAAGGCCCATTGCATAACCAATAATGCATGCAAGGCCATTATTATTGGCTCGTTCTTAAGCTCTAGTAGCATACTAAAGTATCGGCTAGTTTTTATGAGGCAGGGATGCATGAGAGGCAGAGCATTAGGTGCGCATTTTCGCATTTTTGTGCATAGAAGCACAGTTAGGGCCATAACATCGCCAAAAATGGTCGTATTCCCATGTTCTGGGTGTCACAGGTAGCTATGAACTCCCTCAAAATTATCGCGTCATCATTCCCATCAATTTCCACCCAGGGGAAAGCCAAACGAGCCCGAAATGCGCCAGCAATGGCTATTTTGATGCCAGATCCCAATTTAGCAGCTTGTGCTAAAAATAAACGCGCACCAAGTTAAGGTGACACCTCATACGCGCCGTTTCACAACATTCCACATCCCAGATTCTCCTGATTTTTTTATGACATACAGTAACATACTATCACATTGGCCCTGGGCACTTTTTTCACAAAAAACGGCCCCAGTTGAGGCTGCAGAGCAAACAGGTCACATGACCAGTTCTCTGCAGTGCCCCGGGGTCCTGCTTGGCCTGTCCTGCCCCCATTCCAGCCCCTCCTGCACCTCCCACCACCCATCCACCCCGGAAATGGATGCTTACTAATTTATTTACCCCCTCCTCATCACCCTTGAAGATGCTGGGCACTCAGCAACCCCTCCCTCTTATTAGAAGAGCCTTCCCAAAGTGGAAGGTAGCATATTGCCCTCCAGGGCTTAAATTCATAGTTAGGAAACTGCCTTGTATTCTATATTTTTCTAGCTTACATGGCTGGTCGAGCACTTCACAAAGGTGTGCCAGTGTGTTGCACTCTCCAGCTTTTCTCACTCTTTGTTCTAGGCTGACACGAAGCACACATACAAGGAATCCCCTAGCCCCTACTTTACGCGCAGCCATGCAAAACGACAAGGGTGTGCATTCATTGCCTCCTCACAGGAGAATGTCTCACTAATGGAGCAACTGGCAGGCCATCTGGCATCGCCTCTGACCCAGTGACAGTAGACGATGATGATGGTGATGACAGTGATTCAGACAGGGATGAAAAATCGCACAAGACCAAAGATGCGGACTTGGGAGACAATCCCAACCCTGGTGCATGAACTTCTCTTGCCTTGGTGTGCTTCGCTCAGGGTCTATGTACAGTCAGGGACCCCAAGGATAATAGAGAGTATCTGTCCCACAACCAGGCCCACTCACGTGAAGATCGTAAGTCATTAGCAAGTTTCACAAGCCTTCTCGGCTGATGTTGGTCTTACCTTAGCTTATGCAGATGCCAAATTTTGTCCACAGGCAGCCCTGTCCACACCTGCACCACCACTGTCACCATCACCAGTTTTTGTTGTATTGGACCCTTTTCTCTCTGTCACCATGATTCTTCAAAAACTGCAAGCAAAAAGGGACCGATGGCCCTTCTGGAAACCTTGGTAGTTGAGTGCCCACACCCAGACCGCTCGCACCACCAGTCCTGGCAGTATTACTCATCACGTGGGAGCCCCAAAGCAATCTGGCAGCAGATGTCGCTGGTCAGTGTTCTTATTGTGCTGCAAAAGAAATGTGCAGCTCACAATTGTCTCCAGACCTACCATCCAGACAAGAACAAGGGGTACACTGTTGACTGGCACTCTACCTGCGAAGCGATCACAAAACATATAAATGGTATTATCTTTGTATGACCTACAGCTCCACCTATCCCTATTCCTGATTACTAAGTACCTTTGCCTCCAAAACTGACCCTTCTGCAAACCAGAATTTGCACTCTGAGCGTAGTTACAATGTGTCCTGTTTTGCTTGTGAAATATAATTCCTTTTATTGGTCCTTTCATTCCAATTTCTTCTGAGTGAAAATTTTGCACCTTGAACTGTAACCACCACTATGTCCTCGTCCAGCAACCCTGTCAACCAGTTTCTTTACAAGGCCAACCCACCTGTTGCTGTCAGCTGATATATCGATTATTGGCAGTTGCCCAATATGAGAGATGCATCAGGGAGGGCAGTTCCCCAGGCCTTAAAACACTGGTATTATAGGCCTGTTTTGCTCTAGGTGTGACAGCTTGGGCAATTGCCCAATTTCCTTTTTGGGAATTTTTTTGTGCAGGGTTGTAGATCATGTTGAGGTGATCCTGATGGTACTTGAATGACATCAGCAGCATTAGTCATTGTTGAGAAAAATGCAAAAGAATTTCGAAACATCAATGGTTTTGAAATTTTGTTTTTTTTGCAGGATCATAGATCATCATCAGGTGATCCTAAAAGTACTTGAATGACATCAGCAGCATCAGTAGTTGTTGAGAAAAATGCAAAACAAAGTTGATTCCCACAGTCATGTGATCTGTTATTTGAAGAAATATCAATAGCCTCTAGCAATTGTCTAATGCTTGATATCAAGAGACTTTAACAAAAATTTGCCAAAGTCCAACTCACAACATGTGACTCTGTGATGCCATTAGAACATTTGATGGACTTATTGCATTTGCATCACACCAATGCTGGGCATGGCAGTCATATATTTACTATTTGTTTGCATTTGAGGCCAGAATATCAAAGTTTTGGAGGCTGAGCATGAAGGAAAAGGCAAGTTCAAAGTCACATGACCTGTTGATCTACTTGGCATCAGTCACATATCACAGTCCATAACACCCCTCTATGTTATTTTTACATGGCAATTGCCTCTGTTTTATAGGGCTGGGGAACTGCTCTTCCTGATGCATCGTCAGTTTTGGGCAACTGCCCAGCTTCATACATATCACTGACAGCACTGGCTGCCTGTGAGGGTGGGTATTATGGAAGGTGAGTGCTGGAGCTGCCTCAGGTGTGCCTTGAGTTACTTACTCGACATTTTCTCAGTGTCTAGGCGTCCTGTTTCATGCCAGGACAAAGGGGTGGTCCAGGTGACTTTGGTACAGTACAACTAAGCTTCATGCAGCATTATGAGCCTAGGCAGCAGAGAGACTCATCTTGAGGAGCAGACAACAATTTTGAAGACTTGAGTGTAGGTGTCATGTCCATTAGAGCAAGAAATAATGACCATAAAGGTATACCTGAACTGTACAGTTGATGGCATTAGCTTCATTTTCATTCATTTGGCTGGCCCTTTGCATGTTCAGCCACCCATTTTCATCATCAACACCTCCCCCATCTTGTAAATTTCAAGGAATGTACAGAAACATTGTCATCACAAGGTTATGTGTCTTGGTAGCAGAATACAATCAAGCACTTTTCCAGGCCCATCCTGCAAAGGTGGCAGTGTGAAGAGCTCTCCAGACGCCCACAGTTGCCACAGCAATTCGTTGAAGTGCTGGCAAGAGGGAAGATAAGGTGGTGGCCATCATCACAAGGTGAGCAGTGGCATTGTCGTGTTTCTCGTGTGGTTCTAACAGTTGATGGCCTCTCAGAGGGATTGCTGGGGGGTCATTTACCTGCCCCACCCCCCACTTTACAGCTCGCCTGTTTGCGGTGGGGGGGACTCAGGCCTAGTGTTGCCGCGACTCGGCTAGTCGCAAGTCGACTTGCCAAAGCCACCAGTAGCCGCGGCTTCGACCAAAAATGTTGAGCCGAGCTGATAAAATCAGCTCAGCTCGGTTTACCCGCCAGTTTGAAGTCGGCTAAGCCAGTCATTCCAAGACATATAAGCTTAAAAATCAAATTCATAAAGAAATTAAAATAGAATATTATTGTCCATCTGTACAAATGCCAACTATGTGTCATCATCATTGTATTGACCAAGAGCTGTGAGTAGGGTGTCTATATTACTGTTCCACTCAGAGGCCACTTGTCCTAATAAGTCCGTTTCGTCATCGGCAGGCACCAGCATATCTATTTCTGGTGTTTCTAAGCCTTCCATGAAGTTGAGCTGTTTCGTCTTCAGCAAGAACTTGAGCATTTGCAGTGCTTCCATCAAGGTTGCATGCATTCGATTTTGTTGCATCGTATCTGTCTCCGCACTTGATGAAAAAACGTGCTCACAAGGTACTGCCAAGGCTTGGATGGGAAGGTAGTTGAGCGCTATTGCGAAAAGAGTCGGGAAACTTGATTCATGGATCTGAAAAGCATGATATCAGCAGAAAGTCTGGATCAATACATTTGGAATACTTACTTCCCAGAACTTCAGAATGTCCGTCCCTTTCTCAGAAAGCGGTGCCATAAAGTAGGCCATGAACTCCTCATCAATACTCTGGTTGCGGCGTGTGTTGTTGTCCATGAAATCCATCAGGTCATAAAGCCCGTAGCGTTCAGCCAGCTCGTCAAGACCAAATCCTTGCCACGTTGTTGCAGGACTTCGACGAGCTGGCATTTTGGGATTGGCATGAGCACGATATTCCACCATCTGCGAATTGCGGGTGAACATAAGAAAGCTATTTACAAGGGTCCAGGCAGCTCACCAAGTCCTTGATGGTTTGGTTGGCCTCATCGATGAATTCTTCATCCCAATTTTTTCGAATCCATGATAGACGGATGGAGGGATTGAGGACTAGTTAATGGGATGAAGTTAATTAGGGTAACAATAACGAAGCATTCTATGTACCCATTGCAATCATGTATGCCTTTGTCATGTCCATTTTATTGTAATACTTGACCGCCCATTCAACACCAACCTTTGTATATGGCTCCAAGTGTGGAAACTTCTCACCAAGCCTCTCCCATGCAGTCATGAACATCTCAAATGCAGGAATTGCATTTGCGAGAATGGGCATTCACTCGCCACACATAAGGGTCTGAACTCAATGAGGAATCTGGTCATACATTTAGTATTTTGTTAGAGCCTGAAAGTAAGACTGACACTCAAAATCATCTCGAAATTTTCAAGGACTTTCCACTTGCGGTCAGTCATGCAGAACTTTGTTAGCTCCCTGTTCGGGGGCAACAACAGGAAATAATTGCAAGCCTGTCATAGCGTCAGTAAAATACTGCAACAAAGGGAGTAGAAACTTACTTGTCGCATCTCCCGGAATCGGTGGATCATCTTGTAGAGAGAGTCCCATCGATGTCGAACGTCACGAAGAAGTTCAAGATTCTCAAGCTTGATGATCTTGTTGGGGTCGTTGGCTGCCTTGAACCACTCCTTCTCGTTACTGTCACAAATAATATCCTGGAACATTTCGCTCCGTTTACCAGAGGCACGGATCGCACAAACAGCGCCACAGCATAGTGCGATAGGATCCCGAGCACAAGCCTCGTCGAAGGTTTGTTGATGTGCATCCGCAGGAGGGAGGGCTGCTGCAAATTCGGCTTCATCGCTAGCGAGAGCTAGATCAGTAAAGCTCTCAATTACGTGTGTTACACATATGTTGATAACGTGGGGGAAACACATGATGTGTCTATCCTTTGCATTGAAGGGAATATCCCTCGCTTCAAGAAGGACTTGGAGTTCTTCCAAGAACTTTGCATTCATGGAGGCATTGTCAAGTGTCCAGTGGCCAACCTAACAGTGTGATTAAAATGAAGAATTGCCTCAGAAGGTATCAAGAAAAACCTTGACAGTAACGCCCACTCAATCGAGAAGGTGAAGGACGATTCTTGCAAGCCGTTCCGCATGGTGACTACCTCAAATACAGTGAAAAGCCACAAGCGCACAATTGAACTGCAGGCCACCCATTGGAGTGCGTGAGATCCAATGGGCGGTCATGGCAAGGTGTGGATAATGAGACTGATTTGACCAAATGTCCGCTGTGAACGACACCTTTCCGAGTGCAATCTGATAACAGTTGTAAGCTAAACGGTATTTCAGAGAGCCCAGAAAGCGCACTGCGAGATCTTGTTTGAGAACCCTGAAGTAAACTTCCCATGCTTTGATGACTTCTTCTCGAAATTTGGTTCAGCAGGGGATATCATTGTCTTGGAGGTCCTCCTGCAAGAGAAGTAACAGAGCACAAAATTCAGGGCATTCAATGATGTTCAATGACTACACAGCATTAGTTTGATGAATAGATAGAAACATTAAACATACCTGATCATCTGCAACAACGAAATTGATTAGATGCTGGATGAAAGCCTTTTGGGTAAAGGGGGTACAGAAAGCACCTTGAGTGCCATGAGCTGCTTCCAGGGCTGCTACCGCCTGAACTTGCGACTTTGGAAGCAGGTTGTTCCATCCCTTCTCGGCGCAGAGGTGAAGGTACTCCTCTTTGTGCACGTTCTCCAAGTGGTTCCTGAGCGTGGTGTTGGAGGTATTGGCAGAAAACTCGAATTTAAGCTTCGGGTTCGAGGCAGATTTCTCTCTGAAATCAGGTACTGTTAGTAAATCCATAGCACAGATAAATGTACCACCAACGACGTACTTGCAAAACCTGCAATAAGTTTGCTTACCGGAGGCTTTGGCCGCCTTGACAAAATAGTATGCAATATCCAAGGCCGTGTTTCTAGAGCGACTGCTTGACGCTGATGGTGCCCTTGTATCCGATGTCACTGTCATTGCTGCAGCAGGACTGGCTGGGCGCATCGCAAGGGTTGATGATCCAGCGAAAGTGTTGCCACTTGTGCGAGGGCGAGCCCGAGCTCGAGAGAGTCCGCCGGTCTGCCCTTCATCGTTGGTTGAGGTGCTGGGAACACCACTGAAGTCAAACTCTTCGCCGGAGTTGTCGGCCTGAGGAGCTGCTTGGGCAGGTTGGGTGGCGGGTGGCGGTGGTTGGATTGGTGGGGTCAGCGGTTGGATTGGTGGGGTCAGCAGTTGGATTGGTGGGGTTGGCAGGTGAACTGGAGGTGTAGGAGTTGGTTGCTGTCTTCATGCCATTCTGAGTTGGGGGAATCGTATGACGGTTTAGGACCTGGATCACAGTATATAAGTGTTTAGCTATCAATGATAATAGAACAATGAGAACGCACCAAATGACATCCCAATCACGCTGCACCAAGGGGCTCAAACACGTCAATCTTCCAGCATTGTTTCCATACGACCCACCGCCTAACTTGAACGACTGCTCCAGATGCTCGGTCTTCATTGTCTCTGCAAGAACGACTTCATTATGGTTTCACCTACTCAAAAAAGGTGCATCTTCAGTATTTCCGTTCCTTGGTCGATCGAATGGACAGCTGACAGGGTGGCTTACCTGGTCGATTCCCTTCCCATGACAAACGACATGCACGAGTCGTGTCTCCCATAGCGGTTGAGTCGCGTCTCCTGTGACAATTTGTCTTGTACACCTACGATTTGTTTAGAAAATGTCATAGTTTAGCAATTTTCATTTCCTACCATCGAATAGGAACATACCAAAACCCTGTGCCAACTTTCCATGCCACAAGGAGTCCGATTGAAATGAAATACATGCTTGGTAGATGTGTATGTCTGCCTGGTCCTCCCCCCTCGAGCCTTCCCTCCTCATGCCTTCCCTCCCTGTGCCTTCTCTCCTTGTGCCTTCCCTCCTTGTGCTTTCCCTCCTTGTGCCTTCCCTCCTCCTGCCTCCCTCCTCGAGCCTGCCATCCTTGTGCCTTCCATCCTCATGCTTTCCATCCTCATGCCTTCCCTCCTCAAGCCTCCCTCCTCAAGCCTTATACACACCATACAATTGCTCCTCGACCTTTACACACGCTCATCTGCATTTCATTATCCTCTGCAGCCTTTTCGTTGTCTGTCCACGCTGTTCTATGTGAGTCTTTCATAGTTCTACTATTTACAATTGAGGTATAGTACTACTAAATGTAATTAATAACTACATTATGGTCGAATGTAAGGGATGGTGGTGGTACGGGAGCAAGAGTGAAAGTGTGTGAAAGCAGCTGGGGGCTGGTTGATGTGGCACAGGATGTTCCAGCGTCAGCTAAGTGGGCCAGTTTGTGGACCGGTTTAGCCGACGCTGGAACATCCCGTGCCACATCAACCAGCCCCCAGCTGCTTTCACACACTTTCACTCTTTCCACAAGACCACCACCATTCGTCGTCGTCAGCGTGTCCATTCGTCAGTCCACCCGCCTCATAAGTCCCTTCCTCCCTCCTTAGTTAGTAGATAGTCGTATAACTACAAATCAAATAAATTCTGTATGGATGAATGACTGGCACAAGTGCCAGACAAATGAATGGCCAAGACAAATGAATGGCCAAGATGAGGGTGCTGCCCTGTGTACTAGGTGTCGTTTGGGCTCTGGGCAACATGTTCAGGGTCATTGAAGGCATAACAAGTGAATGATAACATACTGACCACTACCTGATATCAGGTTTCAGAGAACAGTCCACAGATATCATGAAAAATGTATGTTCATGTCGGGTTTCTTAGCTGTGCCTCCTGCTCACCATTGTTATTCCAGGTTCCCGAACAGCTGCAACGGTTCTTTGATATTGAGGCAGAGGTGGACAGGGAGGATTTCGACAGCAACAATGAGGAGGATGGCCTCCACCATGCGTGTCTAACTTTTTTCCTGTTGATATAATCTAATTTACATTTGCATCTCACTAGACGACTTCATTGATGACGAGGAGCCAACTGTGTGTGAGCCAACTGAACCACATCCATCATGGAACGACCTTCAAAACGGAGACAAAATTGACGATGTCCTGGCTGGAATCATGGCGTGATCATGGTCCTACGCGGCGACTGCACCAACTCATGTCGAATCCAGTGATGACCTTGCCTACATTGCAGGCAGATTACTGAGTGCTGAAGACTGTCTGCTTTGGCGTGTTGGCTGCAGGGTAAGGTCGTCCTTCGTAATTCAAGGAGTATTCTTATGATTTCCTCAGCTGGGTCTTGAGGAGGAAGCCGTGTTTTCGCTCCTGCTGAAGGCGAGGGAAGAGCATCAAATCCATTCTGCATTCACATGTGGGTTGCTGCGAGGTTGGGTCTACCTGGAGGCCCTCATGAATCCAAATCTCATCCACCTCCTCGAGCGGACACCCGGAATCATTCGCACCAAACAGGGCATTGTACGGCACAGAATCGAACCCTCAGATTGGCTGCAAATGTTGACAATGACGAACCCTGACACTTCCATGGAAGTGAACCAGTGGGTCCAAGTCCGTAAGGGAATCTACAGAGGCGACATTGGCCTCATTGTTAAAGTAGAAAGTTGGGGAGTAGAAGTGCTCCTGGTTCCCCATCTGGTGGCGCCCATTATGGAGCCTTCATTGAAGCAAAAACGATCTGTTGTTCCCCCCAAACCAGCTTTATTTGAACCCAACGTCATCAAGTATCTCTACGACATCAATCCCATCCAAAAATCCGACAGATCGTACACCTTCCATGGACTTCATTTCGAACATGGACTCCTATGGAAACATTACGACTTTCACTCACTTGCCTCTACTGCTGTCGACATGCCATCTTACTTCTTCCTTCTGTTCAAAGCCAGCGACCACCCCAGCCTTCACGCATCCAGATTTCCTTGCCCTCGAGAATGGATCTTTGAACAAGGCGACCGTGTTATCATCCGTTCTTCAGGCAAAAGCAGCGTAGTGGCTGTCATTGGAACTAACAACTTGGAAGTCAATCTCAGAGCAGAAAACGGTACAGAAATTTTTCCCTGGAGTGATATCCAGAAGGATGTTTGCATCGGGGATTTCATTACCGTTACAAGCAGACGACTCCATGGCACAACAGGGTGGGTCAACAAGGTTGATGAAGATGTCGTCCATGTCATAGAGAAGCACGTTGACGACCACAACACAGACACCAATCTCAGCAGTTCCCTCAAGGTATGTGCAATGTGCAGGCAGCACAGTTCAATCTTGCCTTCATTTATTAACTACTTCTGTAGGAATTCGAAGTCCATCTGAATTGGCTGAAAGTTACCACCACCCCGTTCCTCCATGCATCGCATGCACCCAGCCAAGTCCTCCCACTTTTCAAAGACCAAGTGCCATGGATCGGCACCTCTGTCACTATATTCAGAATTGGTCATCCTTACAAGGGACGTTCTGGCGTCGTCAAAAATGTTCTCCGCAGCCAACCAACAGATAGCGGGCTGAGAATCGAGATGCAACTCACCTACCTGGATCCCTCAAAGCCTTTCCCACTCATTGTTGTCGACTATGGCAATGTCATTGAAACAATGTAGGTATAAATTTTATTTAGAGGTGCATCACACTGATCATCCTTTTCAGCACCGCACTACAGCTGTTCGACTACGCCAAACCCACGAGCATGCTCTTCAAGCCGAATGATTACAAGCCATGGCCTGCACTGTCGCAGGTGTCAACCTCTGGTGGGCCAACTCGGACTCCTGCACCTGCAACACCTGGCTGGAGTCCGTCTTTGCAACCCATTTCATTGACACCTGCCTGGGATCCTTCATCACAAACACCAATTTCTTCCCCCATGTCACCCGTTGCCACCAGCGGTACCGCCCTGCCGCTACAAGAATTGCCTCATCATTTGCTTTTGGACCCATGCCTGGTTGGCACAACCCTAAATGTTATTGTAAACGGTGGTAGCTACAGTGAGAAGGAGCTTTCTGTCACCATCGACAAGGTCGACGGACAGGTCAGCATCTGCCATGTTGTATATAACAAATCGACTGGCCTTCCTCCAGAGTGGGTCTCACCGAAACATCCGAATGCGACACGCAATAATGGACTTCTTGTCATCATCAAAGGTGAACACTGCAGCAAGTATGTTCGACGAATCCACCATAGGCACCACGATGGACAGGTGCTCATGAACTTGGCTGTTGTGAGGAGGTCACCTGGCACAGCGGACACACTTTTGGACAAATGACTGGAACTTATGACGGACTTTCTTTGTGTAGGCTCGGAATCCAAGGAGGAGAAGAAGCTGAATAATTCTCTAATGACCTCTCTATGGGATGATATGCACAAACTAGCTTGTGGATAATGTATTTCATTAGTATTACATTAAATAGTTGCCATACTAATGAAATTATGTACCATAATAATCTAGTGTATACAGAACACTGCCCTTTTTGCACGCTACTGCTCTACCAGTGATCTAGCAATTGGTTAGTCGACTTGGCACTGGCTACTAACCGAAGCTGTGACTTTAACCACAATTGGAAAGCTGCGGCTTCCTAAGCTGAACCACAGCTCGACTAATAACCGGTGCCAGCTCCAGCTCTAAGTCAGTTCCGGGCCGAAGCCGTGGCAACACTACTCAGGCCTACATCAGTGGTGTGCATGTGTTCAGGAGAGGAATACACACATGTCTGACATTCCAACCGGCTTTGAAAGAGGGCGGCAGGTGGAAGGGGAGGGTTCTGAGCGATGTCAGACACATTTGACGGATTTGAGTTGTGCATGCTTGATGCTGCTAATACCTACTTCCCCACCACAACTGACCTGTCTTGTTAGGCACCAGTTTTCTTGTTCAAAATCGATTTGGGAACCCTGCCCCTGTCCTTCTTGGCCTTGACATGTTCCCAGTAATGTCATTGCAAGATACCAGCCCCCATGTACCATACTATTCAAAATAAAAGCTCTTCATTCATCTTTCCTATGGCTTGAGCAAGGTTACCCCAGGGTGCCAAGAGAACAGGCCTTCCTTGTGAGCCCCAGCGTCGAAGTGCCCAACCTCCATTTTTGAGGTTTGCAACCTCATCCTTTCTCGATCGCTGAACCTCAACATTTTGTAAACCTGACGGCTCACACGTGATGATGATGTGTATTTACTAACGCCTTTCGGCTCCACTATTTATACCTCAACACGCCCCTTCCCTTTCAGGTAGAGTACTCTTGACCAGATATCTCTCTGTTCCCTTACTCGCCGAATACACACTGGTTCCATTCTGTGCGTTGTGAGTGTTTTCTACCCTTCGAGTAGGGTAGTTTTCCACTTTTTTTTTGAATGTCCACCACACGTGAACATTTCCATTGCTGCTCCCCCTCAACGCCACCAGACTGTTGCTGATCACCGACGCAATAGTTGACACATATATTTGCTTGACGTTGCTATAACCGTCTTTCCATATCTGCTGTTGCCGAAGACTTCGTCTTTCCGAAAATACTGTTGACCCTGAGCGCGTATCCGCTCGTTGCCATTCCGCAAACGATCCTCTTCTGTCCGTACTGTCAACACTGAGCACATACACGCTCGACGAGCTGGCGCCAACCCTCAGAAGCCAGAAGACTCTTGCAGCGCTGCTGGCGTCTTCTGACCATCGCTCCTCACCGTTGTCATCACCGCCTGCATCACCTACCACTGTTTTACAACCGCCGCCACTGGGTCTAACCGACTCAAACACAACTGTCACCGTCACTGCGGAAGACGACACGAATCCCCTCGCAAACCAGTCAAACACCTCTTCGAACACCTCTTACTGGGGATCTGAATCGGATTCCAAAATTATAACTGCATATATTCAACAAAAGACCGCATATAACCGCACCGAGATGGCTCCGAACAAAGAAGCAACGGTTGAACACCCTGTAGTGAAGCACTGCCCTGTGCTTACCACAGGGGACTTATCTCCGAAAGCCGCTATGGAACTCAACAACGCGTTCCAGGATTACTTCACTGCCTGTAGCCACTCAAAAGCCTTGACCAAACTGGAGAAGGTACCCTTGATCCTGTCTGCATTCAAGGACCTCCACATCCGAGACTGGATTGTGTCGGACAGGGCCTGCCTTCTCAAACTCATGTACGACGAGTTCATGCAGGAGCTACACGACAACTATTTGCTGAATGACTGGATCGAGAATGTTCGCAACGAGATGCTGAGCGCACACCAACAGAAGAACAAGCAGTTCTGGTTGTGGACTCAGAAGATGAAAGCAATGAATATCTTGCTGCAAGGAACAACCTCCCACTTCAACGACGATCAGATGCGCCAGCAGCTCGAAGGTCTCATGGACGCCGATCTCCGCAAAGCCGCTGCCCGGAAGGGCATCAATGCGAAGACCGCGCTGAAGGACTGGATTGAAGCAGTGAAGAACTTGGACGAGGAGTATGTGTATGAGCGGAAGAGGTACCGGGACGCGTTCCAGGAGGACCAACGTAATGCAAAGCGTACTGCCCTTGCAGGTAACACAGGCAACACACAGAAGTCCTCCAAGCCAGGTACCTCGAACAACCGTATGACGGGCGGAGGGAAATGGAAGAAGCTCCCCAAGCTCGAACAGTCTGAGAAAGACCTGCTCGAAGAGTACAGCGGATGCTGGAAATGCCGCCAGTTCTTTGTGTACCACATGACGCTTAGCTGCCCAAACAACTTCCCATCCAGAGTGAATTACAAGATGTTAACGCTTACCAATGTACAGAAGCACCCAAAGTACAAGCCTAATGCGAGTGCTTTGGGCTCGAAAACCAAGGGCAAAACTGTCGCCGACGACTCTGATGAAGAGAACAATGCCATTGCCACTATGATGAACGGCGTCCTTGGTGACAGAACAGATTCGGAGGAAGATGTCGACATTGACGAGGATGTGAGTCCGCCAATCTGCGCAAAGCATTTTACATGGCGAGCACTACTGACTGGGCCACGCGTTGAATTTCCAGTGAAGGTCTCGACCCTCATGGATAACGGCGCTCATCTCGTGTTGATATGCCCTGAACTGGTAGACTCGCTTGGCCTTGAACGTTTCGCACTGCCCAAACCCGAAGAAGTAGACGTCGCAATAAAGAACTTGAAAGAAAAAGTAAAGACCGTATTGAACGAATATGTTAAGTTCTCTGTTACTTCATTAGACGGACGTTGGACGTCTCGTACGATCCACGCCCTTATCGCTCCTGGACTGTGCATGCCCATAATACTTGGACTACCGTTTTTGATACATAATCACATTGTTACCGACCATGCAGACTGCTCCTGTATAGACAAAAAGACAGGATATAATTTGATGAATCCTGCACCTCCGCCGAAGCCCAAAGAAAAGCCTCTGCCCCCTAAGCAGAAACGATGGGAATTCGACAGACAAGTCGCGGCTGTTAAACTGCTTAAGAAGGATACCTTGGCAGAAATGTCTGCCCTGATGAAAGATCGCATCGTTAAAGCTGACGAAGACAATGAAAACGTACAGGTACGGCTAGTAGCAGCTGTACATGAACGCATCGAGATTTTGGCAAACTGGGAGAAACTACAGGCAAAACTTAAAGAAAAAGAACGCCTTTTGAAAGATGAATTCCACAATATTTTCGAACTTATACCACATGTTGACGAACTACCGATCAAATTTCTTTTGGAAATACATCTTAAAGATGCGACGAAAAATGTGAAAAGCCATACTTACGCATGCCCACGGAAATACCGAGAATCCTGGCAAACATTGATCAAACAGCACTTAGACGCCGGCCGAATTAGGCCTTCATCCTTGCGGTATGCTTCACCGGCATTTATTATTCCCAAGGCAGACCCAAACGCACTGCTGAGATGGGTAAACGACTACCAAGAGCTGAATGCTAACACAGTCGAAGACAGCCATCCGATACTGCGCCAGGACAATATTCTGACAGACTGCGTGAAAGGCAAGATTTTCGCACAAATTGACATGACAAACTCGTTTTTCCAGACACCTATGAATCCAGACCATATCCACCTGACAGCCATCACCACGCCGTTTGGCTTGTATGAATGGACGGTGATGCCGATGGGGCTAAGGAATGCCCCTGCCATCCACCAACGCCGGGTAACACATGCCTTGCAGGATCAAATTGGACGCATCTGCCACATCTATCTGGACGACATTGTTATATGGTCCCAGGACCTCGAGGAACATGAACGGAACGTACGAGAAGTGCTGACGGCACTGCGAGTCGCTAAACTGTACGTGAATGAGAAGAAATTGTGCTTATTCTGTACAGAGATCAATTTCGTCAGCCACCGCATCTCTGCTGCGGGCATCGAGGCTGATGGGAAGAAGGCCAACAGGATTATCAACTGGCCTGTTCTGAAATCAGCGACAGAAGTACGTGCCTTCCTTGGCCTCGTACGATACCTATCTGCCTTCCTACCGAACCTTGCTGAACATACATTTGTCCTGAACAAACTGATGATGAAGGACGCCGACACAGAATTTCCACCTTGGACAGCAAAAGAACAGAAGGCCTTCGACGCCATCAAGCAGATTGTTGTCGGATGCGACTGCCTGATGACGATTGACCATGCAAAGATGCCAGAAAACAAAAATTTCATAACAACCGACACTAGCGAATTTCGTTCTGGTGCCGTCCTCTCCTTTGGAAAGACCTGGGAAATGGCTCGACCAGTGGCCTTCGATTCAATGACGTTCAAGGGCGCCAAACTGAACTATCCCGTACACGAGAAAGAACTGTTGGCCATTATCCATGCCTTGAAGAAATGGCGCTGGACTTAGTTGGAGTGCCGTTCGTGGTATACACCAACCACAAGACACTGCAGAACTTCCAGAAGCAAAAGGATCTATCTCAATGGCAGGCAAGATGGATGGAGTTCATGTCGCAGTATGACTGCAAGATAGTGTATGTGCAAGGCGACGTGAATACTGTTGCTGATGCGCTGTCAAGATTGCCAACAGAAACAACCAAAAGCAGCACCCGAGCAGAACGCAAGGCTCCAGGTCCTTGGGATTTGGACAACGAACCAGACAACACACTGTGCGTCGTGCTTGAACGTCCAGAAGTGTCACCAGCAGACATAGCAGAGGGTTTGACTGGCCGCCCAGCAGTCGCTGCGACCAAGTTGTCTGTCTCCGCTGACAAGAAGTTTCTGGAAGCTATCAGAGTGGGCTACAACGAAGACCCGTGGACAAAGAAGATGAAGTCCGTGAAGAAAGGCATGGCCGGAATTTCTGAAAAAGATGGCCTTTGGTTTGTAGGTAATCGCCTGGTAATACCTAGGGTGGGCAATGTGTGCGAGTGCCTGTTCCAGCTAGCACATGACACCTTGGGTCATTTCGGCACAGACAAGACATACGGATCCCTTCGAGACGCATACTACTGATCGAACATGCGACGTGACTTGGAGGAGGCCTATGTACCAAGTTGCGCGGACTGCCAGAGGAACAAGAACTCAACAAAAAGACCAATAGGCCCTCTCCACCCCCTCCCAGTCCCGGATGCTCGTGGGGACTCAGTTGCAATAGATTTCATCAGACCGCTCCCAGAAGACGATGGACAGAACTGTATCATTTCTTTCACAGACCGACTAGGGTCCGACGTACAACTGGTAGCCTCACGAACGGACATCACCGCAGAAGACCTCGCACTGTTGTTCTTCGACCACTGGTTTTGCGAGAACAGCCTTCCCTTGGACATCATATCAGACCGCGACAAGCTTTCCGTGTCGAGATTCTGGAAGGCGTTGCACAGCCTAACTGGGGTAAAACTTAAACTATCAACTGCTTACCATCCCGAGACAGATGGAGCAAGCGAACATACCAACAAGACCGTGAATCAGGCTTGCCATTTCATTGTCGACTGTGACCAGAAAGGTTGGGCGAAGGCCCTTCCAAAGATACATTTCGATATTATGAACACTGTTAACCGTTCTACGGGTTTCACCCCCTTTCAGTTACGTTTAGGATGTTCCCCATGACTCATACCTCCACTTGTTGGACCAATGGCACCAAAGAACTCATCGGACAAGGAAAAAGCGGCTTGGGAACTGATACGACAACTGGAAATCAACACATGGGAGGCCCAAGACAACCTCCTAAAGGCTAAGATTTCGCAGTCATTCTTCACGAATAAAAGCCGTGATCTGACATTTCCTTTCAAGGTCGGCGACCGAGTTGTCTTATCCACACTGCACCACTGGCGGGAATACAAAGCCCCAGGAAAGAAGCGTGTTGCGAAGTTCATGCCATGTTTCGATGGCCTGTACAAGATCATGGACATGGACAAAGAACATTCAACAGTTATGCTTGACCTCCCTAACTCACCGAACTTGTTCCCGACCTTCCACACATCGCAAGTAAAGCCCTTCCATGAAAACAATGCCATGCTGTTCCCATCAAGAGAGTTCAATCACCCGCCACCAGTAATTACCAAAAATGGCAAAGAATACTTCATTTGGGATATCATCGACGAATGACGACACGGCCGTGGCTGGCAGTACAGAGTTCGCTGGGAAGGATATGCACCAGAAGAAGAAACTTGGCTTCCGCGACGTGAACTGGAAGACACGGAAGCACTCGATGTTTGGCTGGCGAAGAAGAGGGCAGACGGTTGAACGTAGTACGTTTCCTTTTCAAACCGCCGGCCAGTAGCTTTTTTCCCCACTGGGGTGGTTTTGACGCACCCGTGCCTGGTCTTGTAGACAAGTTTTCTCCTGCTACCACACTCAGTGCTCACGCTTTGAATTTTTCTCTTTTCTTTTATTTTTATATTGGTTGATGTTTCAGAAGGGGGGAGGGTGTAAACCTGACGGCTCACACGTGATGATGACGCGTATTTACTAACGCCTTTCAGCTCCACTATTATACCTCAACGCGCCCCTTCCCTTTCGGGTAGAGTACTCTTGACCAGATATCTCTCTGTTCCCTTACTCGCTGAATACACGCTGGTTCCATTCTGCATGTTGTGAGTGTTTTCTACCCTTCAAGTAGGGTAGTTTTCCACATTTTTGACACTCAACCTCAATACTTCTCAAGGTTTGTAACTTCAACACTTTTTGGTCAATGAACCTCAACATTTTTGGGCAAGGTTTGAACCTCATCCTTTTTGGTTCAGGCAACTCAATTTTTTTCCCTTGTTCGTAACGAAACCTCACTACTTTTTGACAAAGTTTCTGGGCATATTTTTTGCATGCTATATGTGCTATACAAACCTAGAGGATTTAAATAGGGACCTATGGTCGAGGTATCAATGTTTGATATTCAAATTCTACTCTACATACTCTAAACCTAGATGCTTCGCATGATGCTGGAAGAAATAGGGGTAGATATTCAGGAATTCCAGAGTTATACCAGGGTTGCAGTGACAAAAATCAAAAAAGTGGGGCAGATTGTTCTCATCTTTGTGAATGCCATGCAGGTGTGTTAACTTTATGGTTGAAAGAGGCCTGAACTTTGTTGATAACATCAGTGATACCACCCAGCCGAACTGCAACCTCCGATCCCAGTGTTTATACGTGAGACCTTTGAGCTCAGGAAGGAATTCAGGATTCTCTTCAGACTACCAAGGAGGTTGACACTCAGCGACTCGAGTGAATGGAGATAGGGTGTCTGTAGCAGCTCGAAAAGAGAGTTTGCTGTCTCTCCATGATAAGATCAATGGGTGATTTCGAGGTTCTTCAAGTTGCAGCAGGAGCGCAAGATGAAATCTTGGATGGTGGACATTGTAGCACATGCCTTGAAGTGTTCTAGCTTGGGGAAAATACATTGTTCGAGGAGCCGATCCACCGAGGACTCCTCAGTGATGACTATGAGACAGCGAAGTTGCAAGTGGGTTATGAATTGGAGGGAAGGTTGCTGGTTGGAATCTGGCAGGATGTCTTCAAATTGGCAGGGGTGTACTTAAAGATGTCCAAGCAGCCATTTGCTTCGCATCCCTTCGAGGCGAGCTTGGTGATGTTGTTCCATGATAACTTCACAAGATGCAGCTCCAGGTTTGATATATAATGAAACATATTCTGGCTCCAGAGTGTCGGTCGAAAGACTGAACACTTCAGAAGCAGAGTTGCAATTGTTTATGCAGATGGCAAGATGCTTCAGCAGAGAGCTCAATCTCACTTTTGACATCACTGGAAAGAGGATTCTTACTGGGAGCTTGATGTTGAGAACACGGCAGCGGTTGCTGAATGTGTTCATGAGATCCTGAATGAATGCCACCCAAGTCTTTGCCATTTGCGACCATGAACAACTTGAAGATTCCCAGCAAGCTCTATCCATATAGAGCAACAGGGGGAGATCCCCAGTTCAGGAGAGCCACTGGAATGACATCTCTTGTTCCCGTACCATATTGTTCTTGATATTAGAATCAACAGAAATTGACAGTCATGTCCAGAGCTCGGGGGTGTTCCATGCAGTCTCCATGCACACCTAAGGGATTGAACCGATGACCTAGGGTGTTGACTTTGAAGGTTCACATGAGATAAGTCAGCTATCAGCATGCAATTAACCATTAAGCCAAAAGGTGTACACCTATCTTATCGCCCCTTGACATTGTCACTCCCAGTTCGAACCATAGGGATTCCGTGGTATGTATATATGTGTCCACTTGGACCCCGATCCAACTGGTATTAATTTGGGTTATGGTCTTGTGCTGTCTGCAATATCGGCATTAGCAGCTGACAGCTAGGCTGCTGACCTTATGGCCATATTTAAGGACTTGTTGTGAGTCATCTGTATGTAGCCATCACGCGCCTAAGTAACTCAGTCGGCAGTCTCCAAAGATAGTGCCAAAACAGTAGACAAAGTCTCCAGGTCTTGCAGATCGCTCTGAGAACCAGAGGTGTGAACCTTTCTTTCTGAATATAAGCAGATGTGTCATCAGCAGAGTGAGCATAGAGGGAAAACATGTGCTGGATAAGCTCTGGAGGGAGGTCGTTAACAATGGGATCATGGATGTTGTTCCGCGCCGTTTGTAAAATACCTCGGGCATCAGTGAGGGGCATCAGTATGGCTTCAACGCTCGATATTTGGATTTTGAGGTCAGTAATCTTGAGGCATGGGTTGCAGGGTCTTCCCTCAACCACTTCACAAGCCGATGCTCCTGGTTTATCGGTCCTGCCTGCCTTGCAAAGATCGCAAAGCATTGGAAAGCAGTGAGCATTGCAGGTTTCAACTTAAAGAACGCAAATATTAATGAGTTAGACCTAACGGCCTGTATCCACAACTGACTTTTGAATGTAGATCAATGACTGATACGCCGTTCTTGCCCTCCTCTTTCTATAAAGAACGGCGATAGTGAGTACTTGGTGTAAGAATCCTAGCACGAAAATCTCAGTCGTTTGGGTAGCAAACGGCTGAGGGATAAATTAGTTACCTAGCACGAAAAGCTAGGTGACAACATAAGTACATATAAAGTAGATAAAAGTAGGAAACTCACCTCAGTCGTTTGGGTAGCAAACGGCTGAGGGGAGACAATGCAAGTCCATAGTTTATATACTGAGTAGCTACTGTGTCCATAGAGTACTCGAAGGATATAAGTAAAACAGGAGAAAATGGGATTGAATATCCCAGGAGAAAGTGAAAGGGAAAATGCATGGCGAGGAACGCCGTAGGTACACAAGTGAATGAAAAGACAAGAGATACATACTAGTGGTCCGATGGGGGCGCTAGGGGTCAGGGTGCCTAAACGGAGAGGGCTCGGATCGTGTTTGCCAGCCGGAATCCAACACTCCCCCTCAAACCGAGATGAGTCCGAGTTCAGTCACAAAGTGTTTGACTTTTGGTGAGGGGAGCGCCTTCGTAAGTGTGTCGGCTACCATTTCGTCGGTAGGGCAGTAGACAAGGCGAATCGATCCGTTTTCGACGATCCAACGGATGAAGTGGAACCAAACATTGATATGCTTCGTTCTGGCATGATATTGATGGTCTTTTGCAAGTGCGATCGCGGATTGGTTGTCCGAAAATAGGGTGGTGGAGCCGAGTGACGTGTTAAAGAGCTGGGAGATGAGGGAGCGAAGCCAGAGGGCTTCCTTCGAAGTGTATGTCGCAGCAATGTACTCGCTCTCGGTTGTCAAGAGCGAAATGATCTCCTGGCGTTTAGTGGACCACGAAACAGCTCTGCCGTGAAGCAAAAATGCGTACCCAGAGATGGCATGGCGATCCTCCGCCATGCTCCCATCTGCATCAGCATATCCAACAAGCCCCTTCTGCTGTCCTCCATATGACAGCCACAGTTCCTTCATTCCTTTCAGGTAGTGAAAGATCCGTTTGACGGTGTCCCAATGTGCTATTCTGGGCTTTGTCAAAAATCGCGAGACGGTCTGGACGGCGTAGGTAATGTCAGGGTGGGTTCCGAGTGATGCGTACATGAGAGAACCGACAGCGGCATGGTAGGGCACATCGCGCATCTGCGCGAACTCATCCGTAGTCAACGGGGACTGGGCGGACGTGAGGCGGACGTTGGGATCCATGGGGATGGAGAGGGGCTTGAGGTCTTGAAGCCCATAGTGGCGCAGGATTGACTCGATGTAAGAGCGTTGAGAAATGAAAATGGTTCTGTTCTCACAGACATGGCGGACCTCAATGCCGAGAATCCAGTGGAGCTCGCCGAGATCAGTGATGTCGATCTCAATTTTGAAGGCATCAATCAGTGGCTGTGATGTTGCCACAATTGTGCAATCATCAACATGCACCAACACAACAATCAAAGCCTTAGCTCGTCGTCGAAAAAACACTGCCTGGTCCATGTCACAACGCTCGAAGCCCAGCAAACGAACCATAATGAATGACAGTAAGTCGGTATGAGTTCGGATGGATAAAGGCCAAGGCTGTATGATACACGGAATGTAGAATAAGTGAAGTCTCGATGCATGAATCCGAAAGCTAAGTCCTAGGCGAGACGCGTCACAGATCATGTGATCATGCAGTCACCGTAAACCAACGTCGCATCGTAGCCAACCTCTCCCTCCTACATCTCCCCCTCACTTTAAAAATCAACCATCCCTGGTTGCCAACCACCCCGGTTCCCGAAACACTCAAACCTCCTCCAACTCCATCACCTTCACTACCTTCCTGCCACGAGGGTAATAAGGAATCAACCGAAACGCAGCATACTTCAACTTCGACACAGCCCCATTCAGCTCGGCGAGGCGATACGAACCACCTTCAGAGCGCCTGATGACAACCATGGGACCATAATAGCGAGGTTTACCCTTTCGGCCAACATCAGGTTCGATTTTCTTGTTCAACACCAGCACGAACTCCCCGGGCTGAAAGTCGTAGTCGATCAAGACGTTCTCGTGTCGCCTTTCGAACTTGGCAGCCGAAGCAAAGCGAGCCTTCAAAACACGTTTCTGCATGGCTGCGATGTCGTCGTTTCATCGTTCAAGCTGTCGTCCACGCATAGCAAGCAACTCGACCTCGGTGATGAGGGATTTCATTGGTGGTAGAAGGAACGTTGCATGGGTGATGTCGAACGGTAAGAGAGGTTCCACTCCATGCACTGCATAGTAAGGTGAAAACCCTGTAGATTTCCTCGTCGTAATGCGCTCTGCCCAGAAGACGTATGGCAGGCGTTTGTGCCACTTTCGAATATCACCGTCGCCGGATTTGATGAGTGCGCTGCGGACTGGCTGGTGAGCAGCCTCGACAGTGCCATTCGCCCTCGAGTTGTAACCTGAAATCTGAATGTGGCTGACATTGTACTTCCCCTCTAGCCACGCCAATGCCTTGACGAAAGGAGTCCCATTGTCCGTCACCATCTCCAACACTGACCCCCACCTCATCATGATCTTCTCCAACAAAAACCTTCCTATCGCTTTATGGTTCTCTTTCCTCAACATTTCAAACTCCGGCCAACCCGACAAGTTATCGCGTGCTTGGACGACATATTTGTAGCCTCCCGACTTCGGCAGATGCATTGTGTCAATGTGACATTTTTGGAACAATCCCGGCGGACTTATCACGGTAGGTGGGAGCAACACGGCTTGCTGCGACATAAATTGACACTCGTGGCATGTATCCAGAAACCACTTGATGTCTGCATCCATAGTTGGCCAGTAGAAGCATGTCGCTACCTGTTGTCTCATCGGATAGAAGCGCTTGTGGCCGAGTTCATCATGAGCCGTCTTTAGCACTGGTAGGCAATCCTGTTCAAATAGCACAACACGATGCCGTCCGTCGTGTTCTCGGTACCATAGTCGGCCTCCAGCCAAGAAGAAACGTGAAGCTCTCTTGAAGAATTTGCATAGGCCTTTGGTATCCAAGCCCGCAGGCGGTTTCAGCGTCGACAAATACTTTTCCACCTTCCGTAAGTCTTCGTCCTTCTTTCTCCCAACATCATTCACCGGCAGCTCCCCTTCATCAGTCACCTCCACGCACTTCCTCCCATAAGCCAGAACCAAACCCTTCGCCCCAATTCTCTTGTTTCCCACTTCAAACACCCCCGACTCCAAGCTTGAAGCCACCCACACACCACACATCAAAATTTCCTCCACCCACTCGTCAGCGCTCTCGCCCTCATTCTCGACGCAGTCATCATCATCCGCTCCTCTTCTTCTTGATAACCCATCAGGTCCTCTGAAAAATTTCCCCGGAACGTGGACAAGTTTGAAGTCGAACATCAAAATCGCAGCTATCCACCGGTTCATGGCAGCATTGGGATGCATATCTGGGTTGTTGATCATGCCCTTGATGTACTTCGCATCGACCTCTACAGTCAGGTTTTGGATGCCAATAATGTAAATTTTGACAGCATGCAGTGAACGGAACAAGCCATAGAGCTCGATTTTTGCCTGTGAGTACTTCGCCTCGCGTTCGTTCAGTGTCATTGAACCAAATCGCGCAGGGCGTCGTCGTCCTTTATCATCAAGTTGAGCAAGAATATACCCGATTGCGATCACGGATGAGTCAACGGAGAGGATAACCTCTAAGTTGGAGGTGTAGTCGATGGGCCGAATTGCAGGGCACATTGTGACGGCATGCTTCAAGGTATCCATTGCTTTCTGTTCATCTTCCCCCCACACNNNNAAAGGCAAAGCCTTCTCCGCGAAGCCTTCTACCCACTTCCTCACAACACCTGCGACCCCCAAGAAACCCCGTACTTCCGAGACGTTCACACACACCGGCCACTTCGTGATTTTTGAGATCATGGAGACATCTGGCTGCCGTCCCTCGTACGTTGATAGTTGGCCAACGACGACCGCTTGCGGCTGACA